CCAACTATTCCAGTTCCGCATACGGCACAGGGCTGGATGCCACCATGGCAACACTGATGGTTTGTCACGAGCATACTGCCTGGCATCCCAAGTTGCCCAACTCCATGGTGTTGAACAGTGGAGGGGGAGGATATGTGATAGGGCAAGGTGAGATGGCTATAGAAAAGTAGTGGGAGATCGATATATTAGCTCCAGGCTACACAAATACCTGGTTCCAGGATAAGTTAAATGGCAGCTGCTCTAGGTCAATTAAGAACTTTCTAGAAGGCAGGGAGATTGCTAGGTTGATTGGGACACCTGAAGCCAATCACGGGCTGACTGAAACTAGTTAAAAGCCTCCCAGTTAGTCAGGTGGGTGTGGATGTCAGGAGTTGTGGGAGGAAGTTGTGCTGTTGGAGAGACTGAGCAGTATACACCATATCAGGCACAAGGAAGGAGGTCCTGAGGTAAGGGTGAAGTGGAGCTTGAGGAAGTGGGGGCTTCTGTGGGGAAGTAGCCCAGGGAATTGTACATGTCATGTTTTTAAAAGGTCAGCTACCATAGCTGATACTATTAGGGTCCCTGGGCTGGAGCCTGGAGTAGAGGGTGGGCCTGGGCTCCCCCCTTTGCCCCTCCCCCCCAATTAATCACTGAGACTGGGAGACAACAGAGACTGTGCAAGGGAGGATAGTTTCTCCTCACCTCCCTTGCTGGCTTATGATGAAAATGGCTCAGTAGACTGTGACCTTTGTCCCTAGACAGAAGGGTTACGTGAAGGGTCACAGTGAGCCTCTGAGGCTAGTGAAATCCGCCAGGAAACATGGGACCCATGGAGACAAGGACAGAGCTTTGTCACAGTAGCTACATGAATCCCTTACCTTGTGAATTACCCAGGAAATTAAATCAATATATATTTGCAGTACATGGTATGGAGCTAGCTAATTTACCCTAAATATTGTGGGTTTTACATTTTAAATCCTGAATATCAGTAAGTACCTGAATTTTTCAAAACATGTAGCTGATTTAATGTTATGCAAAATAACTAAAATAATTTACATAGACAACTTTTATTTACAGTACTTTCATATCCCCAATAATGACTAGTGCAGTACAGAATATGCAAATTGCAGTGGTATGCACATCAAATGTAACAGGATTATAAAGACCCTAAATTCCAGCCATGTACCACTTCTAAATTTATATGTAGGGAAGCATCTTGCTCTCTAACACTTTAGCATGTTTTCTTTTTGAATGGGACATATTTTTGTGACCTTACTCATGGATTGTGTATTGCTCTGTATTGTGCTGTATACTGTATCATCTCCTCACAGACCTCCTGTGATGATCCTTGATGTACATCTTGTAGTGTTTACTTGCACGTGTAATGATTGTGTGTTAATCTGCTGAATGCAATATTTAGCTGCACCTGTGGGAACTTTTTTTTCTAGGCTCCTCTCAGATCTCATATACATGCTGTGTTGTGTACAGTGCTGTGGTGCTTCAGCCCATTGGCCTACGTAAACGCATGAACACATCCCTTTAACACACACAAACACTGTGTCTGGTGATTTTGTATCTTCTTCTGCTTGAACACTCTTACGATGTGTCAAGACAATACTTTGGGAACAGATACTGCTGTATGCTCAGTGAGTTCAGTTGAATGGAAGGTGTGTGGTTCTTCTCATGTTAAATCTGGTGTAGGGTACCAGCTATTATTGGATGGCTCTTGCAGTGAAAGTGTGTATATATGTTCTGCATCATTACACTCAGTTAAATCAACATTTTCAATGCATCATTCTAAGTTATCCACGTGCAGCAGAAAAACGACTGATCTACTCCTCATCTGTACCCTACGGATCATGCTTTTCTGGATTCATGGCCCTTGTCATACCCATTCTCCATTTCCAGAACACCTTTATCTTCCCCATATCATCTCCTGGACTTGCTTTATTTGGCATGTCTTTAGACAAAGAATCTGATACAAATCTTTGCAATTGTCTTAGCTGAGTGGCATGCTGGTATTACCTAAACATTTTATTCAATTACAGCTGAAATCCTGATTAGATGGGACAAGTGAGAATAGAAAATCAAATATATCTAAACTTAGTAATTAGTGAAATTAGACTCATAGATGTTCACCCCTGTCTAGGAAACATTTACACAATATTTCCATAGAAGAAAAAAGCATGGACACTAAAAAATAAATGATAAGGGTTAAACTGGGGGAGGGGAGGGTTTCAAGGGTTCCTATAAGATTCAAGATTAAACAAGACATCAAGTTCTCATAAAATGATATGAGACACAGAGAGAGCGAGACCACCACAAGCTGGTCTGAAATATGTGAAAGATTTGATAAGATTAATTTGCAATAATTAACATGAGGAAAAACAGATAGGAGTGAGTTTTCTTTAAATACTCTTCTTGTAAAAATTTTTTTGATTATTAAAGCAGAATGGACAAGGTTAAATATCTATGCTTTGGGTTAGGTGTAGACAGATGACACATGAGATAAAAATATTAAATGCTTTCAAGGTAACAAACTATTATTTGTACTGTTGTAGCATTTAGGGCTTTTAATTAGGAATCAAGGTTCTATTGTGCAGGGCACTTTAAAAACAAATACAAACAAGGCAGTCCCGTCTTGAAGAGCTTACAAGTATAAGATGAAAGACAACAGGTGGATGCAACAAACAGATGTGGGGAAAACAAGGCAATAGTGAGAGAGTAATGAACAAAATGTAACTGTCTGATAACACAAATGATTTGGCAAATAGTGAGAACACCACACACCACCAGGATTCCTGTCTCACAGAAGGAATTTCAGTGCAAGTCTATTACCAAGTAATTTCAAACTATACGTAGCATAGTATAGTATAAAACCAGTGTAAAGTTCTCAAAAAAACTGAAGGAAATGTAATCAGAAATGATCACAAGAACATATCTGTGGAAAGCTTCTGAAGCTGTCAAGAGAATCCTGGTAATAAAGAAAAATATATTACTTTAATACATGGGAATAGAGAAAGTGCTTTCCTAGATTTGTTATACTATGTATTTATATTTTTTGAAATTGAAAACAAAAACTATTTAGAATGTTGACTCACATTTTCTCTACACTGCCTATATTTTTGTTGTGGTTAACAGATAAAGAAATTTTTAAAAATTAATTAAATGTAATACTTCAAATGGATTTGTACAAGACAGTCCATTATGTGTACCTTGTTTTGGAAGACTATGATGGCAGATTAAGAAATTAACAGTTGGGCCAAGTTACCTTATTTCTCCATTCATAGGTAGGAAAGTTTTCTATAGCAGAGACTTCCTTGTACGTATTCTTATATATTATTAATAAACCTTATATTTCTTAATTACCTTTCATCTGAAGTGCTTTATAAAAATAGGCCCAAATCCTGAAAAGGGATCCACTTAATGGATCCTTATTCATATATGTACCATTTGTGGATTAAGGCCAAAATAAGACCTCTCTTGCAGAGAAGAATTTCATTCTCACTGCTGCACTAAAAATGTTGCTGATGAATTTATAATTTCAAATATGATTTAACTGAAGTCAAGGTTTCCAGTAACATGGCAACTAAAGACAGCCTTTAAACTAAATGTTGCTTCTTCTATACAAATGTATTTAATCAGCTATTTAGATTAACATACATTTATTCAGATTCTTCATTTTTACATTATTATTATTTTAGTAATGGTGAAGGATGCATTTACTTAATCGATGACTGATTTTGTACTTGTGATTTGTGTCAAGCCACATGTGGATGGAAACTGGGATTCAATTAAAAATGCACAAAACCAGCATTTTTAAATTGTTTTTCATTAGTTAAACAAACCCCCCTTAAGTAAGTATGTTTATCAAAACATGTTTTGCATTTAAAAATAACAAATTTATTAACAAAGGAATAATGATCTCTAATTAGGGAATTGGGTGGGATCCACAAATGGACTGAGGTGCTTAACTCCCATTTTTAGGCACCACTATGGTCCACAAAACTCCCACTGAGCTGCCACCTAACCCTGTAGGGGCCTATGATTTTACCTCTGGAGAGGCACATGGTAGCCTCACTGTAGCTGACCATCTTAGCATGCACACTGCTGCCTCATGATCGGTATCCGGATACCTATCATCTCCCTCCTAAGACCCAGACTGGTTCACAATTGGGAAAGATAGGTGTTTAGCTGCCTAAATTGCATGTGGGGACCAGACCCAATCTAGTAGGAAGCTTTGTCTCCCTTTGAGGGACCTGCTGCATCACCCAGATGGGAGGGGCAGCAGGGACTAGAAAATGGGACTGTGATGGGCCCAGCTCCATGAGGAAGGGCTGCTCAGGCTGAGCAGTTATCACTCGCTGTGGTCTACACTGCGGTTACAAAAGGAGGACTTGTGGCACCTTAGAGACTAACAAATTTATTTGCGCATAACCTTTCGTGAGCTACAGCTTAGGTTGACATAAGTCGGCTTAATTTGACCAATATCCGTGAACACACTACGGCCTTGGTCCTGCCAATGTAAATACCCTACTTACACTGACCTAACGCCACCTCCGTGAGAGGTGTAGGGCTTATGTCAGTGTAATCAGGGTGATTCACCATCCCTGTAGACACTGTGTTACTTACACCGGCTGTTATTCTTTCTTGACTTTCCTGTCCAATTCCATAGAGACCTAAAATTGACTAGCTGCTGACAGGGCTTCCCCCTTGGAAGTGGGCTGCTCCCCGCCCGGCTGCTGCCCAGGCTCCCCCCTCGGAGTTGGGCCACTCCTGAGAGCGCGGGCGGCGTCAGGATCCCAGCAGGGAACGGAGGGGCGGGGGCAAACCAGTGGGGAGCCAGGAGCCCCAGGGGCAGCCCGGCTCTGAGGGGCGCGGGAGGAGCTGCTGCAGGCGGGAGAAGCCAGGCTCGCAGCCCGCCCACCCCCAGGAGGCGGCTACTGCAGGCATGCGCTGTACGTTGCCCTCACGGAGGCGGACGGAAGGCCGCGGGGTAGACGTGCCCTGAGGGGCAGGACCAGGAGAAAGGGCAGCTGCTTCCCCCACCGCCCTTCAAGCCGACTCCGCGCGTGCGCAGTTGCTACAGAGGCCGCTGCCCCTCCTGGACCCCGGCTCGCCCTTGTGCTTCCGGGTCAGCCTCTCACCGGCGCGCGCGCAGGGGCCGGCCTGGGACTGGGGCTTTGGCCCCGGGCAGCGACTGGCTCGTGCGGCTTGGTGGTGAGAGCCCCCCGCGGCGACCGGTCCCGGCCCCGGCTCCGCCCCCGCCCCCGCCCCCGGCCCCGGCTCCGCGGGCGCTGCGCCAGCCGTGCGGGGCTAGCAGGGAGCGGCTGAGCCGGGCCCCCGGGACAGGGACGCGCTGACAAGCCGGTGCGGCTGGCCGGGGAGCGGGCTCGCGCCCCTTGGCCCGAGTGTGACTCTGCTCCCGTCTCTCCTGCCGCAGGCTCCCGCCGCTGCCCTGGGCGGGGCAGGTCCCGCTGAAGCTTCCCCTGGATGGATCCCGCAGCTCCCCTGAGCCGGACGGAGCGGAGGCGGTTCTGCGGAGCCCGCGGCTGAGCCCCGCGTGGCCGCTGCCTCCGCGCGGGCTGCATGTGATCCCTGCCCCTCGGGACAGCATGTTGTCGCTTGTGACCAGGGCAGCGGGGGTCTGGGGCAGGCTGCGGCGCGCTTGTAGCGCTGCTGCTTTGTTATGCCCTCAACCGTGGATGGAAAAATGCCCCGCGGATCATGTTGTGTTCTCCAGTCCCTATAGTTCTCATAAGAAGGTGATGAGCTTTTTTTTTGTTGGAAATAGATACAATATTTGAAAACTAGTAGTACTGTAGGGTAGGGGATGGAAATCCCTTTAACCCAAGTGGATGTCTCCTTCGCCCTTTAACTTTTATTTCTCCTCTTAGCAAGAAGGCCTAACTCACGCTGTTTGCGAGGATTAACCCCTGTTTGCATTTAATGCATACATCAGACAGAGTGAGTTAAGCCTTCCTGTTAAGCAGTGTTCTCAAGCATTTCTATGTTGTGACCCCTTTTCCTATTTAGCAGTATGGGATAGGCAAGATGGCTGCGACTTGCTAACATGTTCTTGACACACCCCTCCCCCAGCATGAGAAGACTGGTCATAAAATAATTACAGGAACAGGTTTCAGAGTGACAGCCGTGTTAGTCTGTATTCGCAAAAAGAAAAGGAGTACGTGTGGCACCTTAGAGACTAACCAATTTATTTGAGCATGAGCTTTCCTGAGCTACAGCTCACTTCATCGGATGCATACCGTGGAAACTGCAGCAGACTTTATATACACACAGAGATCATGAAACAATACCTCCTCCCACCCCACTGTAAATCTAGGTCACTTAACAGTACTCACTGCCAATAGCAGGGATCTCTGTGCATATTCAGTGGCCAGCATCTGCCTTTCTCCTCCCTGACCCTGGTTGTGTATAAGCCCTGGTCTACCTCAAAACTTAGGTTGACCTAGCTATGTTGTCCAGATTTTAAGCCCTGTGAAATATAGTTAGGTTGACTCCCACCGTAGACACAGTGAATCGATGATCTAGCTGCTGCTTCTGAGAAGTATTTAGCTATATTGACAGAAAAAAAAAAAAACGTTTACATGGACCTATGAAGTGTCTATAGCTGCACAGCTGCAGCACAGTAGTTGCAGTGTAGATTCGGAATGTTTTAGTAAGGAGTTGCTGTTTGTGGTTCCTGGTTCAATTTCCTGTGTTGTTTAAAAAAAAAAAAAAAGTTTATTGTCCTTAAAAAGAGAACAAGCAGGAACATCAAGGAAATTTGAGTATTTTCCATACATAGTAGCTGGGATGGTTCATGCTCCCTCCCTTCCCCAGCTCAGAAAAAAAAACAAAAAAACCCACACAACTCAAGCTTTTACTTTCATGAGGAAGAGAGTGGGGAGTCTTCATCGTTGGGCTGGCACTGCTATGTATATCTGTGTTCTGTATTTTCACCCTTAACTTACATCAGTTCGAGTAAAAGGTGGTTTATGCTACGTTCTTACAACTGTCTCAGCTCTAGTCACTGATCTTGCAATACTTCCATAAACCTTCAGGATTACATCCTGAATAGTTGTAGTTGATTATCTTGACGATGATAGGTAATTTTATTTGTACAAATTTAAATAAATGTAAATTGTACAAAATATGTAATTGTCACCCCACGGAAAAAGTATCAAGCTTTGTATTTTTCATAAAAAGTGTGGTATGTCTAACATTTACAGCAAATTTAATGACTGATCTAGCACCTTTTAAAAATTAAGGTGGCTTACAAGAATGTAACAAACAAACCGAATTTCATTGGAATACAGCAGAACGGTATTGAGCTGGCATTTTTGTAAGCATAACTATGGTCAGTTCACTGCTTCAAAAGATAGTATATTCATATCAGTCATTTCCCAAAAATGTTGTTTTGGTGCTTGCCTATTTTCAGTCAGTTGGATTTTAATGTTTGCTCTGGTTCTAAATAAAGTTTGAAACTCAACTGTGTCTAATGGTCTGAGCTCAAATTGGGAGCTAGGTACTTGAGTCCTAATTACAGGTTTCAGAGGAACAGCCGTGTTAGTCTGTATTCGCAAAAAGAAAAGGAGTACTTGTGGCACCTTAGAGACTAACCAATTTATTTGAGCATGAGCTTTCGTGAGCCACAGCTCACTTCATCAGATGTGTACCGTGGAAACTGCAGCAGACTTTATATACACACAGAGAATATGAAACAATACCTCCTCCCACCCCACTGTCCTGCTGGTAATAGCTTATCTAAAGTGATCAACAGGTGGGCCATTTCCAGCACAAATCCAGGTTTTCTCACCCTCCACCCCCCCACACACAAATTCACTCTCCTGCTGGTGCTAGCCCATCCAAAGTGACAACTCTTTACATAATCAAGTCGGGCTATTTCCTGCATAGATCCAGGTTTTCTCACTTCCCCCCACCCCCATACACACACAAACTCACTCTCCTGCTGGTAATAGCTCATCTAAACTGACCACTCTCCAAGTTTAAATCCAAGTTAAACCAGAATATCTGGGGGGAGGGGGGTAGGAAAAAACAAGAGGAAACAGGCTACCTTGCATAATGACTTAGCCACTCCCAGTCTCTATTTAAGCCTAAATTAATAGTATCCAATTTGCAAATGAATTCCAATTCAGCAGTTTCTCGCTGGAGTCTGGATTTGAAGTTTTTTTGTTTTAAGATAGCGACCTTCATGTCTGTGATTGCGTGACCAGAGAGATTGAAGTGTTCTCCGACTGGTTTATGAATGTTATAATTCTTGACATCTGATTTGTGTCCATTTATTCTTTTACGTAGAGACTGTCCAGTTTGACCAATGTACATGGCAGAGGGGCATTGCTGGCACATGATGGCATATATCACATTGGTGGATGTGCAGGTGAACGAGCCTCTGATAGTGTGGCTGATGTTATTAGGCCCTGTGATGGTGTCCCCTGAATAGATATGTGGGCACAATTGGCAACGGGCTTTGTTGCAAGGATAAGTTCCTGGGTTAGTGGTTCTGTTGTGTGGTATGTGGTTGTTGGTGAGTATTTGCTTCAGGTTGCGGGGCTGTCTGTAGGCAAGGACTGGCCTGTCTCCCAAGACTTGTGAGAGTGTTGGGTCATTCTTTAGGATAGGTTGTAGATCCTTAATAATGCATTGGAGGGGTTTTAGTTGGGGGCTGAAGGTGACGGCTAGTGGCGTTCTGTTATTTTCTTTGTTAGGCCTGTCCTGTAGTAGGTAACTTCTGGGAACTCTTCTGGCTCTATCAATCTGTTTCTTTACTTCTGCAGGTGGGTATTGTAGTTGTAAGAAAGCTTGACAGAGATCTTGTAGGTGTTTGTCTCTGTCTGAGGGGTTGGAGCAAATGCGGTTGTATCGCAGAGCTTGGCTGTAGACGATGGATCGTGTGGTGTGGTCAGGGTGAAAGCTGGAGGCATGCAGGTAGGAATAGCGGTGAGTAGGTTTCCGGTATAGGGTGGTGTTTATGTGGCCATTGTTTATTAGCACTGTAGTGTCCAGGAAGTGGATCTCTTGTGTGGACTGGACCAGGCTGAGGTTGATGGTGGGATGGAAATTGTTGAAATCATGGTGGAATTCCTCAAGGGCTTCTTTTCCATGGGTCCAGATGATGAAGATGTCATCAATATAGCGCAAGTAGAGTAGGGGCTTTAGGGGACTTCAAATCCAGACTCCAGCGAGAAACTGCTGAATTGGAATTCATTTGCAAATTGGATACTATTAATTTAGGCTTAAATAGAGACTGGGAGTGGCTAAGTCATTATGCAAGGTAGCCTGTTTCCTCTTGTTTTTTCCTACCCCCCCCTCCCCCAGATATTCTGGTTTAACTTGGATTTAAACTTGGAGAGTGGTCAGTTTAGATGAGCTATTACCAGCAGGAGAGTGAGTTTGTGTGTGTATGGGGGTGGGGGGGAAGTGAGAAAACCTGGATCTATGCAGGAAATAGCCCGACTTGATTATGTAAAGAGTTGTCACTTTGGATGGGCTAGCACCAGCAGGAGAGTGAATTTGTGTGTGGGGGGGTGGAGGGTGAGAAAACCTGGATTTGTGCTGGAAATGGCCCACCTGTTGATCACTTTAGATAAGCTATTACCAGCAGGACAGTGGGGTGGGAGGAGGTATTGTTTCATATTCTCTGTGTGTATATAAAGTCTGCTGCAGTTTCCACGGTACACATCTGATGAAGTGAGCTGTGGCTCACGAAAGCTCATGCTCAAATAAATTGGTTAGTCTCTAAGGTGCCACAAGTACTCCTTTTCTTTTTGAGTCCTAATTGTGGCTCTGCCACTCACTTGCTGCGTGGGCAAGCTCACCTATGTTTCCCCATCTGTAAGATGGGAACTCTTACTGAACTTGTGGGTATTTGAGGTGTGATTAGTCAATATTTGCATACTTTTAAAACAAAGCAGAGTTGTAGTATTACCATAACTTAAAAGGCTCCAAAATGTTTGGCAATAGACATGGAAGGATAGCTTATCTATTTACTGTTCTGAGTTTTTTATGCATTCTTTCCCTTTTAAAGAACAAACAAAAAGAGGTCCCATTATTTCTGCTGAACATAGTGTGATAGCATATTGCAGCAGCAATATTGCTTTTTTGCTTCTAACAGTACTCTAATTCAGTGCAGTTGGAGACTAAGCAGTCCCTGAACAGTGCATGAGTTTTGTTTTTTTTGGGGGGAAAAATGAGTTACAGCATGCATAACAGTGCCTGTTACATGGCCCAGAAAATGGCCTATATAGGAGACTTAGGATTTGATCCTGCAGTCTTTATACGGATATCACCCATGGAAGTCAGTGGGAGACTTTTTTGCCTAAAAATTTACATAATTGGGTTCTGAGACTCAGTTGCGCAATCTTTGTAGCTGATCGAAGGCTAAAAGTCAGCCACAGAACAAAGTTTGCTTCAGAAATTTATAACATCCCTCCAAAAAGGACTTGATTGGCCACTTGATGTACTTACATGGCCGGCTGGCATATTCACATTCTGCAGAATTTAAACTTTTATTAAGGTTAAAAAAGTTGTAAATGTATTTTCTAAATGTAAGCATTTATACACTGTTTTTTCCTGCATCTGCAGATAGTTCAAAATAACTGTTAGGTGTTAACACCCCACAACTCCAATTAAACTTATTGGGATGTTAATACCGAAGACTGTCACTTTAAAAGGCAGCATTTTATTTTGCAAGTATTAGCAGCTAGGATGGGGAAAGGGTTGGGTGGGGGTAAATTGCTGCAGGAAAGCAAATATAGATGCGAGAAAGAAGCAGAGGAGGCAGTGAACCAAAGTAGTATGAGGAAGGAAGAGACAGAAATAGGAGGGATCATGAAGCTGAGCATATTTTCTTGCTGAATGGGTCAATAAAATATTGACTAATTAACAAATCTTAATACGTAGCGGCATAGTCTTCCCTGAGTCTTTGCACGCTACCTGCTGATATTAGTGAGAGTTCCACTTCGGATTGCTCATATGCATGCCTCAGTTTATACCCTGGTTCTCCCTACAGCTAAAAATGCAATTCAGTCCGCTCCAGGAATAAGTTTGACATTCTTTGACTAATATATACAGAGGGTCATAAGCAAGGACCGTGTCCAGATTTATTTTTTTTTTGGTTTAGGTGACTTGGTCCTCTTCCGTCTGTCACCTCGTTCCAACTTTCTACCTCCAGTGCCTGAACTGGCGAGTTGGTGACCAGTCTGTCTTTGAAAAGCTATTTGTGTGTCTTTTCTTTGCCCTCTAACTCTCCTTCCTCTTGGTAGTTTAATAGAATTGATACTTAGTAATTATTGGGGGAATGGTTCCGAAAAGACTAATTGTGTAGTGGAATTAATTGCTCAGGTTACACTTGCAGCTGGAAATGAAACTTCACAGAATGAAAAGGTGAGCCATAGCATAATCTCAATTACCTAGTGTCTGAAACACTTGCACTATTTACCCTATTCCCTAGCTTGTCCTCAGAATTATTTTAGAATGCTTAAACATGTGCAAAGCTGCTTCAAAATACTCTATTTACATTTTTGTCCCGATAGAACATTGAATAGATTTAATGGTAGCTGTTCATGTACTAATCTCACAAATGTTTGTACAAGTTACTGAAACAGACTTCAGTGGCAATGCAAACCCTGATGGGGAAAGGAAGAGGAGATGGAGGAGAAGTAACGATGAAACTGTTTTTCAAGTTCCAAAAAAACAAGGGAATGAGGAGTTACTAGTTTCATGTATACAGTATCATTCTGCACCCTGGTTTGTGAAATTACACCCTAATCTGTTTGTGAATAGGAATCTCTACATTTTATGTTTTTCAGGAAAAACTGGATATGTCTATATTTCCTGTTGAAAATATTAGAAATTTCAGTATCATAGCTCATGTAGACCATGGCAAAAGCACTCTAGCAGACAGGCTATTGGAAATTACAGGTAAGCATTGTGATTAGACATGGTGTTTTTAGTTATCTGTACTTCTTATGTGGGCAGGCACTGTGCAGACTTCTTAGTACAGTTCTACCACAGCATCTCTAATATCCATGCTGTTCTAGTCCTGGGCTTCTCATGTACATACACCATCAGTTGTACAGCAAGATAGATTTTGGTGTATTGCAAAATAATCTCAACTAGACAAACAAAAAATAAAACGAGGAGGGTGGAAAAGAACCAGGGAGGGGATGTGTTGGGGAGTCGGATGAATAGATTATATTTAGAAATGTAGTGGTCTCTGTGCAACTCCTGACAAACAATAAGTAGGTCAGTACCTACAATATTTATTGTACTTATTGTCAGAGTTTGTAGGGCATAGAAAATTTTGGGCAGTCAGAAGGGGACTGTTAAAACCTGGAAATTAAGAGAATGGTTTTGAGGGGTAAAATTTAACACAAGTACTTCAGGGTCATCCCTCCCATTTCGATGATGGCAGATATTGCTGACTGACTTTGGAGCAAAAAAGTCTTTTGTATGTTCTTGTGAAAATGGAATGGTCAGGGGAAGGTATGTGTCACATACTTTATAGCTTGGTGTACTGGGCTGAGATGTGGGAGATCCAGGTTCATCGCTCTTCTCTGTCTGATTTAGTTCTTCTCTCTATGTGCCCCAGGCTCAAAAACGTTCCTGGCAAAATTTTGTGGAAATGCTACATATCTACAAAATATTTAGGCTTTAACAATATAGCACGTTACACAGAAATTTCATTTAGATGAAAATGTTTCAACCTGCTCTAGTTCACATCACTCTTAGGAACAAGTAGTGGACCTTGTTTCATGATTATGGCGGTGTAGCTTTCGTGAAATCAGTATGGCTATATTATATTCTGGGTGAGTGTATGCTGGGAATGCACACCCATTTGTTGACCTGTCTCTGCAGTGTGCACATTAAGAATTCAGTGCAGATCCTGTGGGGTCTCTGCTGTTTGCAGATCTGCTGACTGTTTCATGCCCGAAGTAGAAAAGGTGCAAGTGGCAGAGATGCTGCTTCATTTGTGAGGTTGGATTTCTAGTAGACATGAAGGAAGTGTGCTGCTATTGAATGATCCAAGGGGTAAGAATTCCTTCGACCCCGACCCCAAAGGAACTCCCAGGCTATGGTCTGGAGTATGATTTATAGGTCTTTAGCCTCCCTCAGGGTGTCTGTAGCTTCAGAAACATAACACTGCATCATTTCACATTACAAGAAGTTATTTTTGTAATCACAAGATCTTGAAACTTTTATTTTAATCAAAAGCTTAGATTCTGCATAAACTGATGGATAAGCCCCACTCATGAAGGAAAGTGTCCTGTGTGCCTTTGGAAAGTGGATTTGTCGAGCTTTGCTCTTACATAAAGTCACCATTTAAATCTATATTTAAATTTTGGGGAAGGAATCGTTTCCCCTTGGATCACTCAGTAGTTTGCTATGGTCTGTATTAGAAACTATTATACTCCTTTTAGACTGTGCAAAATTATACTTGCGTAAAATAAGATCCTAATTCAATTTTTAAAACGTGTTTTTAGGAACAATTGCTAAAACTGACCAAAATAAACAAGTGCTGGATAAACTGCAAGTGGAACGGGAAAGAGGGATCACAGTTAAGGCACAGACTGCATCTCTCTTTTACAGTTATGAAGGAATGAACTACCTCTTAAATCTCATTGACACACCAGTAAGTTAAGTATTAAATATGGCTAAAAATCATATGAACCCTAAATGTCCTTACTTTAAAATACTCTTACTCTTTTGAAATGTTAGGTTTGCCCATCATTCTGTGCTATTAAATTTGTAAATTAATCCTGAATATTTTTCCTCCACAGGGGCTTGAGCTGATGTGTTAATATCATACAGATGAAATCAACCAGACTCCTACTGCAAATGATTCTAGTTAAAGTTGTACTTGGTGTTTTAAATACCAATTTTTCTTCACAGGGTCATGTAGATTTTAGCTATGAAGTATCACGGTCACTGTCTGCCTGTCAAGGTGTCATTCTTGTAGTGGATGCAAATGAGGTAGAGTTCCAAATTCTTATGTTCTGCGTAATAAAAAGTATTACCTTATGAGGTTTCCTAAGTCGCTTAAACTTCCACTTTTTTGTTACCCTTTGGAAAAAGTGCTATTGCCACCTCAGCAAAGAATGCGAAAATGACTTCGGAAGTACCAGTTAGACATGCGCCTGTGGATATGCTAGTTCTATGAAATGAACATGTAATAAGCTTAACCAGTAATATTGCAGGATTAGTCCCCTGCTTCCTACAAAGTGCTGAACTCATCCTCTGGGCTGTTGAGTGCCTTCAACTCCATTAAAGTCTGTGGAGATGAAGGCACTCAGCTTCTTCCGGGAAGTGCTCGGCAGCTCACAGGATAAAGCCCCCAGAGCCAAGTTGATTCTGGAATTCTGATGCAGTAACAATGCAAATCAGACCAGTGTAAGACAAGTATACTCATTTTGTTTAGTTTTGGGATACAGTCAGCAGCACTTCAAACTGTTAGATTTTGAATTTAAAATTTTGCTTTGGGGAGCAACTCTATCTATAGTATACTATTGCTAAAAACTATACTAGTTAACTGGTAAACTAGTATACTAGTTTAGCTATACTAGCTAAAAACATAACTCTGGTATTTGTGCCTCTTCAGAGGGCCAGAATAGATATCTAGTAAACAGTTATTTTCAGGAAAATTCATCTTGTTAAAGCAACAGGATATCAAATAACATTAGATGTTGCTATATTTCTGAAAGTGGACCCAAGTCAGTAGTTGTAGGCAGGTAAATAGTGTTAAACTGTGTTTGTTTAAACTTTAATTTCAAATAGGATGTGCAGTTGAAACCTGAAGTGCTTCCCAATAATGGAGCTATAGAACACTGAAATGAGATTGATTTGTACAATTATCTGTCATACTTTATATTGAAGTTTCATTTATAAATAGTTTATAAAGGGCTAATGATTATTAGCGGTTATAACCATGTTTCAAACATTAATATCTGCAAACTAAGTGTATTCTCTGCCATTATTCAAATCATTTATGAATATATTGAATACATAGATAGTGAATTATGATATTTTTTGTCTTATCTATCCCTTTTCTAATGGTTCCTACCATTCTGTTTGCTTTTTTGCCTGCAACTGCACATTGAGCGGATGTTTTCAGAGAACTATCCACGATGATTCCAAGATCTCTTTCTTGAGTCGTTACAGCTAGTTTAGACTATTGCTTTGTACGTGTAGTTGGGATTGTTTTTTCCAGTGTGCACTACTTTACACTTAACACTGAATTTCATCTGCCATTTTGTTGCCCAGTCACCTAGTTTAGTGAGATCCTTTTTAAGTCTTTACAGTCAGATTTGGTCTTAACTATTTTGAGGAATTTTGTATTGTTTGCCACCTCACCACTCACCCCGTTTTCCAGATCATTTATCAATATGTTGATCAGCACAGGTCCCAGTACAGATCCTTGGAGGACCCTGTTACTTACCTCCCTTCATTGTGAAAGTTGACCATTTATTCCTATCCTATTTCCTATCTTTTAGGCAGTTGCTGATCCATGAGAGGACCTTCCCCCTTATCCCATAACTGCTTATTTTGCTTAAGAGCTTTTGGTGAGGGACCTTGTCAAAAGCTTTCTGAAAGTCCAAGTATGCTATATCCCCTGGATCACCTTTAGCCACATGTTTGTTGATCCCCTCAAAGAATTATACTAGATTGGTGAGGCATGATTTCCCTTTATAAAAGCCATGTTGATCCTTTCCCAACATATGTTCATCTAAGTGTCTGATAATTCTGTGTTTTTGCTGTAGTTACAACCTGTTTTCTGGATGCTGAAGTTAAGCTTACCAACCTGTAATTGCTCCCCGCTGGAGCTTTTTTAAAAAATTGGTGTGACTTAGCTACCCTCACGGGGTCACTCACCACACTGGTGCCTCCTTCTTGGGCGTCTCAGGAATTAACTCAGTCCTAGAGGGTGCATCCTCAGGTGATGGTGGCTCTTCCATCCTCTCCTCCAAATGCAGACCCGTCACGGCTCCTTTCTCTTGGCATCTGCTTCCTGGCACAGCCCTCCGGCCATGTCAACAGCTGGTCCCCCCAGGGGACTCCAACAAGAGTCTGGCCACTCCTCACAGCGACTTGGCAGTCCACAGCTGGGCCGCTCCTTCCTTGCTAGCACCCGGCCATCCCCGGTACTGGTCTCTCTGTAGCCCTCTAGGATGCCAGTCTTCTCCCTAGGGCTCCCTGCAGTAGACTAACTCACTCTGGTCTGCAGCTTCCTTTTATATGACTGGCTGGGCCCTGATTGTCTGCAGCCACTGCCCGAATTGGCTGTTTCCCCTGCAGCTACTCCTTTGGCTGCCTGCCACTCAGCCTGGTTATCTGGCTGGTCACAGAAGCTGATTTAAGCAATAGGCTATGTAACACAGTAGTTCTGTAATACCATGTTAGCATTTCTTCAGAGCTCTTAGGTGGATATCAGCTGGTGCTGGTGACTTCTTATTGTTTAAGTTATCAATTTGTTCCCAAGCCTCCTGTATTGACACCTCAATCTGTGACTGTTCCTCAGATTTGTCACCCAAGACATCAAATGGCTCTGCTGTGGGGATCTCCCCCACGTCCTCTTCAGTGAAGACCGATGCAAAGAAATCATTTAGCTTCTTGCAATGGCCTTGATTTCCGTGAGTGCTCCTTTAGCACCTCAATCATCTGGTGACCCCACTGATTTTTGGGCGGGCTTCCTGCTTCTGGTGTACTTAAAATTTTTTTGCTCTTAGTTTTTCTGTCCTTAGCCAGTTGCTCTTCAAATTCTTTCTTGGCCTGTTACCTTATACTTTTATGCTTGACTTGCCTGATTTTATGCTCCTTTCTATTTTCCTGAGTAAGATTTGATTTTCAATTTGAAAGGATGCCTTTTTGCCTCAGACTGCCTTTTACTTTGCTGTTCAGCCATGGTGGTATTTTTTGGTTATTTTATTGGGTTTTTTTGTTTGTTTGGGGTTTTCATTTAGTTTGAGCCTCTATTACAGTGTTTTTAAGTAGTCTCCATGCAGTTTGCTGGCATTTCACCCTTATGACTTTTCTTTTTAATTTCTATCTATGTAGCTTCCTCATTTTTGTGTAATTCCCCTTTTTGAAGTTAAATGGTACTCTGGTGAGGGTTTTTTCATTCTCTCCCCCCAGGATGTTTAAATTTAATTACTGAGCGGTTCAGCTATATTCATCTTGTCAGTCAGATTCTCTGTTCCATTTAGGATTAAATCAAGAATTGCTCCTCCTCTTTTGGGTTGTAGGACAAGCTGCTCTAGAAACAGTCGTTTATGGTGTCAGCATCCCTTCCTTAGGAGACATAATTGAAACCTGTTACTGTGGGGTTTTCTGTTTTTGTAGTCCCTTGAATCTCCCTGAGCATTTTACAGTCAGTCATCATCCTGGTCGGGTGGTAGGTAGTATATTCCTATTGCTATACTGTTAGTGTTCAAGCATGGAATTTCTATCCTTAGAGATGCTATGGTACAGTTTGAGTCATTTAAGATTTTTAGTTTGACTCCGTGCTTTCTTTCACATACAGTGCCACTCCCCCCCACCAGAATGACCTACTCTGTCATTTGTGTATATTTGGTATCCTGGGATTACCATGCACCATTGATTATCTTCATTCCACCAAGTGTCCGGGATTCCTGTTACATCAATATTTTCATTTAATGCCAGGCATTCCAATTCACCCATCTTAGTACTTAGACTTCTAGCATTTGTATATAGGCACTTGTACATTTTGTCAGTATTCAGTTGCTTGTCTTCATGTGTGATGTTTAAATGGAACTGTTTCATTTGACTGTTCCACACTAGCTCCTACCTGTACTTTATCAAAATCTTTCCTATCCTCTTACTTGGATATAGAGTTCCCCCTTTAATAAATTCATTCGTAAATAGGGTGACCAGATGAAACCAACAGAATACTGGGACACATGGGGGAAGCAAAAAAAAAAAAAAAAAAAAACCGGCCGGAGTCGAGTTGCCGAAGCGCAAAAAACCCCCCCGAAAAACACCAGAGCGTCCAAAGCTGCAATATTGGGACGTCTGGTCAACCTATTCTTAAAGGACGTCTTTGCCCAAATAGTGTGTACCTCTGCACCTGTTGGCTTTCCCCTTGCCCTTACTTTAAAAAAATCCTCTACAATCTTTTAATTTTACATGCCAGCAGTTTTTGTTCCTCTTTGGTTTAGGTGGAATCCATCCGTCCTGCATAGGCTCCTCTTTTCACAAAAGGTTCCCCGGTTACTAATAAACCTAAACCCCTCCTCCCTATACTATCATCTCATCCATTTGTTGAAACCTTCCGGTTCTGCCTGTTTTTCTGGTTCTGTGTATGTGTAAATGGAAGCATTTTGGAAAATGGTACCATGGAGGTCTTGGACTTAATCTCATACCTAGCTGCCTAAATTAAATTTAACAATGCCCAAAACCAAATTTTTTTGTTGCAAGTTGAATGGGATGTTTTGTTTGACCTGAAATTTTTTCCAAATTTTCGATTCACTGGAAATTCTGAAAAAATTCAGTTTTGGTTGACCAGAAATGATTTTTTTTTACAGAACTGCCAACCAACTAACAAATCAGTTATTTGTACTGCTCTAGTTATAAATACATCAGTAATAGGTGATTATTGACCTCCTGGATTCTCTAACAATTGCTTTATTAAAATATCTATTACTTTTTAACCTTTTATAAACAGAACCTTAATATTAGGTGTCATCCAATTATCGTTTAAACAGGACTAGGTTCATACACTATCGTAGAAGGGAATTATTTTTCAGCATTAATAAATTTACTATTACATTATGAATATCCTCTTACACTTTTAGATAATGGTAATATAAAAAGCATGGAAATAGGTGTATTATTGAAAACCAATTAAAGAAAATAACACCTCCCAAAAAGAAGGGATGTGTGTAATAGGAAAATAGGCTTCTTTCTGTTAATACCCCAAACACAGAATGTAGTATTGGGTAATAAAACACAGTAGTATTGGGTAATAAAATGTTGTTTATGAATACTTTCCAGGGTATTCAAGCACAAACGATGGCAAACTTCTATCTTGCTTTTGAAGCACAGCTGGCAATAATTCCTGTTATAAACAAGGTAATAATGTTTTAGACTTATATAAATAGCAGTTTTTACATAACCGTGACAAAATTATGAAATACAAGAAATGTATCACCAAATTGAAGAATGCAACAAAAGATGGAGTGAAGTTTACTCGTGTTTTAATCGGTCAATCTGAAATAAATATAGTTGTAAATAGAGAGTTATCCCCTGTTTAGTATTTTAAGCTATTTGCAGTGAATTTTAGTTGCTGTGAAAGGTGTCATTTTACACAGTATGAGAGGTAGGAACTTTACTTGGGTGACAGCAATGAAAGATTCCCCACACAGTGGACGTTAAGCTTATACAGCCTTGTCTATGCTAGTGTTTTAGGATACGTCTTGTGTTTTAACAACTCCCTTAAATCCTAGTAAAGGCAAAACCAAACTGGAGGGTGTAAGTTTGGAGGATTGGGCCAAAAGAAATCTGATGAGGTTCAATAAGGATAAGTGCAGGGTCCTGCACTTAGGACGGAAGAACCCAATGCACAGCTACAGACTAGGGACCGAATGGCTAGGCAGCAGTTCTGCAGAAAAGGACCTAGGGGTGACAGTGGATGAGAAGCTGGATATGAGTCAGCAGTGTGCCCTTGTTGCAAAGAAGGCCAATGGTATTTTGGGATGTATAAGTAGGGGCATAGCGAGCAGATCGAGGGACGTGATCGTCCCCCTCTATTCGACATTGGTGAGGCCTCATCTGGAGTACTGTGTCCAGTTTTGGGCCCCACACTACAAGAAGGATGTGGATAAATTGGAGAGAGTCCAGCGAAGGGCAACAAAAATGATTAGGGGTCTGGAACACATGAGTTATGAGGAGAGGCTGAGGGAACTGGTATTGTTTAGTCTGCAGAAGAGAAGAATGAGGGGGGATTTGATAGCTGCTTTCAACTACCTGAGAGGTGGTTCCAGAGAGGATGGTTCTAAACTATTCTCAGTGGTAGAAGAGGACAGGACAAGGAGTAATGGTCTCAAGTTGCAGTGGGGGAGGTTTAGGTTGGATATTAGGAAAAACTTTTTCACTAGGAGGGTGGTGAAACACTGGAATGCGTTACCTAGGGAGGTGGTAGATTCTCCTTCCTTAGAAGTTTTTAAGGTCAGGCTTGACAAAGCCCTGGCTGGGATGATTTAATTGGGGATTGGTCCTGCTTTGAGCAGGGGGTTGGACTAGATGACCTCCTGAGGTCCCTTCCAACCCTGATATTCTATGATTCTATGATAAGTTAAACTGTCCCCTCAGCTCGTTTACTGTGCATCTTTAGCTCGTTGGGGTGTAAGTTATGTTAACTTAAGGTACTTAGGAACATGTACCTTGCATCACTTCTGAGCTTGACTCACTCTGAACCTTAACCTTGAGAAACACAGAAAAACAGCATTGTGGGTGAGATGGTGTTCCCTTACTCTGTTCACTCAATTACTTCTGCTGAAACTATGAAGAAAGGTAAATTAATGTTAAATGTGTTGGTACTTTTTCTTGATGGATTTGCTCGATAATATTGCAGGCCATCATGATGAAAATGCATTCATTTAAAACACTGTACATCAGTCTGTTACAGAATTCTCTGTCTTTATTTTAATTTCTGGTAAATCACACAGCCAGCTTTCTTCAAAGATCACTTAACTTCCACCATGGTGTTCATTGTATTCCAGCATGCATTTTCAGTCCCGCCACCCCTTCTATTTTCAAAGGTGATACATGTGTGAGAGTATTTGGCTTATCTCTTAATCAGTATTCAAGAAATATACTTTAATGAGCTTTTAAGAAAAACACTCCACAAATGACAAGATCTACCTGTAGGGTTGTGTGGGTGGAAAAGCAGGCGATAGGTTATTGTTTCACTAGTTAAGTGAAATGTGTAGACGTAAAATTTTTTTCTCAATATCTGCGCTGGAAATAAGGCTGAGTAGTGTTTTACCCTTGTGCTAGATGCAGACTTGCAACATCACATTAATTTTTCCAACTGAAGTACAAAACCTACTTTCCTTCTTTTTATTAATAATTTTTTGTTGCAGTAAAGCATTCCTTTCAAAGGCACCAAAGGGGGGGCGGGGGAGAGTCTTGCCAGAGGTGAATAAGCAAATAGACTTTTACAGTGCTGGGCTATAGTGTAGTTTATAAAGCTATTTTGAAACTTGCGCCCTGTCTTTACCTTACTAGCAATCTTGTTAGCGCTATTCTATAAGAATTGTTGTTATATGCAGGTCTCTAAAAGATGGGAGGACTGTTTTAAGACTCATTTTAGGGAACACTTTAGTATGAATCCTTCTGATAAAGACAGCTGTTTATTTACTTGCAGTATTCATGATCTCATTTTTTATAAAATTTTATTTTGGTGAACTAGAATTCTGACATGCAAGAAGAGTGTGTGTGTGTGTGAGAGAGAGAGAGACTAGTATTTCAGATGTGTAACAGGAATATTGTTTTGTAGATCGACTTGAAGAATGCAGACCCTGAAAGAGTTGAGAAACAAATTGAAAAGCTATTTGATATCTCTAAGGATGAATGTATTAGGGTAAGATCTTTTTAAAAAATTTTAAAAATCTGGATGTTTAGCAACTGGATGATTATTAAATTTCTTAAAATCCTGTCTGGAGCTGAAATGAAAAATGTGCACTCTTTAAAAAAGTAAATCAATTCCTGAGTTTTTTTTCTTTTTCGATATGCAGTGTATATTTCGTCTTACTGTGTTAAGGAGAGGGCAAAGGTCCTTTTTGAGATTAATGTCCATCTAGAAAACAGAAGAGTAATGAAAACACTTTCAAATAGAGTGTCAAATTTTGGGGACTAATGGATAAAGGCTTCAAGGAAAATTCTGAAATTTCCTGTACTGTGGGTGTGCCAGATTCTATCATGTTCTCTTTCCCTGACGTCTTTCCGTCTGCGTGAGATGTGTCTGTTTCTCCACTATGGAATGTTTAATAGAGTTTAACAAAGTCTTGAGTTAACATGCCCAGCAGCTTGCCCGTTGAGTCTGTAGCTGAGCATCATACTTTTAACATGTCAAAATGAAGATGGCATTGTCCGTTTAATAGATAATGTATATCAGCAGACTTATTCCCAATAAAACTTTTTTTCTGAACTTGTTCTAGATTTCTGCTAAACTAGGAACGAATGTGGAAAAGGTGCTTCAGGAAGTTATTGAAAAGGTTCCAGCGTAAGTTTTGGTGTTTTATGGAGCCAGAGGTAGACTCTGCCTATTTATGATAGTAACTAGCTTTTGGTAACTAGACAGATTTTTGAGCTGCCCTTTTAAATTCTTATACCAAATCCATTCTGCATGAAATTTCTCAATTTGTGGTTTCCTGTTACTGGAGTGGAAGGGCAGGAATCTTATTTTTGAGGTGAATAGGACAAGATTATTTCATTTTGAGAAATGAAATTTGGAAAAGAGAAATTTTTCATTGCTTGGTAAATCCTTTCAACCGTGTATGTATTTACTCTCCCTCCCACCCGCCACTGTATATATGGGAATTATTAAAGATGAATATAACACAAAAACCATTAACATAGGTAACATTATATGAAGTGGAGAGAGAAAGAAAATCCATTACATTTGAACACTACTGATGTAAGCCCATCAGGGGAGCATAGAGAAAGCAAGACAATTTTTAGAGTAGCAGCCGTGTTAGTCTGTATTTGCAAAAAGAAAAGGAGTATTAGTGGCACCTTAGAGACTAGCCAGTTTATTTGACCATAAGCTTTCGTGAGCTACAGAAATGAGCTGTAGCTCACGAAAGCTTATGCTCAAATAAATTGGCTAGTCTCTAAGGTGCTACTAGTACTCCTTTTCTTTTTGCAAGACAATTTTTGTGATTGGTTATTTAAATTTCCTTTTTAGAAATGATGTACTTTCCCCAGATATTATTTTGTAAGTAACTGGAGATCAATCCCAGTATGACTCAGGGAAGCACAAATTTCTAAAATATTTATATTTAATCAAATGTTTTAGGTTTTCATTCTCTCTTCTGAGCATTACATTGTTTAGTTAAAATTGTTGCAGGGGCCCGAGTTATGAATACGTATTTTCAGCTTTTACAGCCTGAACTGCAGTTTTATCAAGACTTTTATTTGGAAATTTGACCATTGTCAGCATGTCAAGAGAGGCTGCTAAATCCCAGTTCATCTCTGAATCAGTATTTTGCTTTTCATTCTGTTTGTTTCTTATTAGGTATTACCTACAGTGATAAATGCCAAACAGAACCCAAACGATAATGAAGTCAGTGGGGGATGGAAGAACTGTATCAGGGTGATATTCTTGATTATCAGAACTTTCGTGGGGAAAAAAAACACTGCAATGGTTTAAAATTAATGTCTGCCATCCTGCAATAAAGCTGAGAGACAAGAACAAAATATACACTTAATTTGGAACATTAATATTATTAAGAGAACAATCTGCTGGCACAGGTTTACGATCAGAAATAGAAGTGTGGAATGGCTTAAAAATCTTCTCATAATATTCTGTATGCCATAAATAGCCAATCTCCTGTTTCACACAGCTTCAAGATTTTTGTTTGCTGCACTTAGACTAGCATCTATTTTTGTATGAACATTTTGTTTGAATGTTTTGAAATAGATGAATTTACATTTGACTTTCAATGAAAAATAGTGTACAGTTCATGCTCTTATTTAATACATATTAAATGTATTTTGTACATTTTTCTTAATAGACCCAGTGTTAACATTAGTGACCCATTGAAAGCCTTGGTGTTCGACTCCACCTTCGACCACTACAGGGGTGTCATAGCTAACATTGCGCTCTTTGGTGGAGAGGTTCAGAAAGGACATAAGATTGTGTCTGCTCACACAAGGAAGACCTATGAAGTTAATGAAGTAGGAATTCTGACCCCAAATGAACAGCCAACTCATAAATTGTAAGTAAGAAGTTCTTTGGGGGGAAAAAAAATCATAAAGGAGTATTGGAATAATCAGATATAATGTCTTGAATCTCTAGATCATCTGTTCAGTTTTAGCCTTGGACAGCAGTTGAGGCGGGATTGGGGAGGATTTTTGAAAGCACTCAGCATTGTTTCTCACTGTTCCATTTAAAATTAGGCCAATGCTGAGCATTTTGAAAATCCCATTCTGAAATTCTCTGTCTAGGAGCTTCATGGCTTGAGTTGCTATTCTCAGTCCAGTTCAAGTAAGCAAGTGTTCACAACACATAAGTGCAAACCATCAACTTCACTGTTGGGACCCTTCTTTGCAGTGTGAACAGAAAAATCAAGGACTGAATGGGTTTGGTGACAGAACTACCCTTTCATCTATAGAGCTGGTCTCCCTACCAGTATGACTTAAGCACACGTTTAGGTTAGGAGCTTACTGCATAGATGTTGCTCATTGTATACCAGTTCTTCAACTAAAAGACGATTTAAAACTGCCTAAGTGACTTAGGAGTGAAAAATATTGTTGTCTTTCAATGGGAATTATGATCATAAGTCACTTAGGCACTTTTGGAAAAACACCTTCAGCCTCCTGAGTTATCCATCCGGCACCTTTAATGATCAATCAATTCACACATTTTTAGTGTGTAATGGATGATAAAAGCTTTACTTTCAAGGACACACAATCCCTCCCATTTGACTACACAATGCATTGCCATCAAACCAACACGTTTGGCAGTGTGATATCACATTAATATAATAAAAGTGGCAGAACAAAATGAAATGAGCCACCCTCTAAAAATCCTGAAGTCTGATTTGTATTTTAAAACTATATTTATGATTTTAAAAGGTTTTCAGACTACATAACCACTCCTATGTATGGTGAATCACACCCCCTTGAGATAAAATAATGAGAAGAGAATAACGGCTAGTTGGTCTGGGAGCCTCCTGCCTGCTTCTTTAACAATCACTGGCATTTACTTGGAGTTGGAGACTGTCTACTAGGGGAAGAGAGGTGAAGGGGAATGGGCATTTTAGGCATAAAAATAGGTAGAGGTTTTATTTATTTAAGGTAGGGAAACATGATTTCTTTTTAAAGGGTGTCTAGAGCTAAATGGGCAGCCTAACTGCTGATGGTATTTTAATTGTGAAAGCACTCATAACTCTGGTGCTCACACTTGTTATGGAGCAAAAATAAATTGTGCACTGGGTTTTTCAGGGTTTTTTTTTTTTTAAATTTTCTAGTCCTTTTCCACCTAAATTTTCTGGGGGCACTGATCTGATATCTGGGACACAGAAGCTATCAGAGCAGTGCTTGAATAGCATGCTGAACATGTAGTCTGAGCCTCCAGTTGACCCATAGAAGCTGTCTTGGGTAAGAGTGGAAGTTGGGGGCATCATCTTATAACTGCTGCAGGGACACTCATTGAAGTTCTGTGCATAAGTGCAATGCAGAACAGCATGGAGAGGGGGTGTGTGGTCAAAGCAAGTGAGGCAGGAAGCTGTTCATCTACCCAAACAGGGAAGGCCTTTAGTTTGTCTCCAGATGCAACTGCTGTTGGAAACTAGTTCATCTTCCCGGCAGCGTGAGAGAAAGCACGTTGCCATAGTCAAAGAGTGGAGGTAATTTCTGACACCATTTGCAGATGAATGCTGATTAAAGGCCCTTCTCAGAGGTTTTCAGTGACGCTGGGGAAGGCTGAACTACCTGCTTTGCTAACTGCACAACTCTACATTTAACCATCTCCCTTGGATTCCCATACCACCAGCAGCATACGATGGTGATCCACCTGCTTCCACAACCCAGGTAGTTACTGGGGTTTGAGGGCAAACAGAAGGGTGACATTGCTCCTTGCCCAAGCAGTCCTTTCCTAGTATCTGAAACTGGCTTTGGTAGTGTGTGGGTATTGCTTACTTCTGTGTCCTACATGTCAGAAAAGTACCTCCCATCCCCTGCCTTCAAACAGGAAACCAGGTAGGGCTGGAAATCCAAAATCTCAGCCTCACAAAGACATTTAACCTCTAGTAATAATTAGGTCCTAGATCCATTTGTAAAGAGTCTCTAGGGATATGTAAACAAGGGAGGAACAATTCGGGGTTGAGTATGTGCACTTTGGGGGAGAACATGTGCTCGTATACCTGAGGGGGCTAACTGCAGAGGGAAAAACTTGAAATATTGTTAAATACAATAAATATTTCCACATAATGCCAATTTTATTTAGATATGCTGGACAGGTGGGCTATCTGATTGCTGGGATGAAAGAGGTTACGGAAGCCCAAATAGGAGACACGCTGTATTTACATAAGCAGCCAGTGGAGCCTTTGCCAGGCTTTAAATCAGCGAAACCAATGGTCTTTGCAGGTGAGGAGTATACCAATTCAGAAACTGGAAGCAGTTTTATGTTTCCTACAGGAGTAGGAGAGCTACTCAGGCAACGGAAATTTATGAACATGCATCCACATTAAGGGGATGTGAAAACAGCACACTAGCAGAGTGTTACTCTAGAATAGGGGTGGCCAACCTGAGCCTGAGAAGGAGCCAGAATTTACCAATGTACATTGCCAAAGAGCCACAGTAATATGTCAGCAGCTTCCCCCCCCCCCACTCCTAGCACCTTGCACCCACCAGCAGCAGTCAGCGCCGTACCTCCCGCTGAGCTGTTTCGCGGCGTGCAGGAAGCTCTGGGGGGGAAGGGGAGGGGGCAGGAAGGGGTGGAGTGGGGGCAGGGCCTCTGGCAGAGCCAGGGGTTGAGCAGTGAGCACCCCCTGGCACATTGGAAAGTTGGCTCCTGTAGCTCCAGTCCGGGAGTCGGTGCCTGTACAAGGAGCCGCATATTAACTTCTGAAGAGCCGCATGTGGCTCCAGAGCCACAGGTTGGCCACCCCGTTCTAGGGTGGTATGTGATGCTTATATAACCTTGTAAAATTTTCCTGTCTTTCACTTGGATAGACAAGACTAAGAAAGCTTGCCAGTGGCTTTTAAATAAGATGCTAACACTTATTTTCACTACGGGAGGATCATCTTAGCTCACATAGGCCTTTCATGGCTGAAAATAAACTTGTACATCTTCACGAATCGTGTAACTAATTTGGACTTGTTCCTCCTGATAAGCAATTTCTGCTGTCTATTATGAAGCATTTTCCATGGGAAAAGCCTTATTTTATTATTAGCAGCCCTTGTTTCACACTTCTTAAAAAAAAAAAAAAAATGTGTGACCAAAACTGATTGTCAAAATGATCCTGCAAAACATTTAAGTATGTGCTTAACTTTAAGCATGTGAGTAATGACGCTGACTTTCTGTCACTGCCTGCTCTCGTAAGTTTACAGGAGGCAATATTTCTGTCTACAGAAGATGAGGAAATAATCGTAAGGAAAAGCAGCAGAAGAAAAGAGCCACATTAATTACCTTCTGAACCTATATTGAGAGAATGGGAAAAGTTTATTTACTTCCTCAGATGCCTGATCATATTGGAGGCTATAAAATAAGATCATTATCTTGGGATAATTTGCAATGTGCTTCTGTAGTCCTTTTCTCATTTGCCAAAACATGAAGCTAAAATGTATCTTTATGAAACAACTGTGAATCTAATGTAAAAGTAAAAAACCAAAAACAAACAAAGAACCCTCAGAATTTCAGGGGTAGGGAGTTCACATACAAGTCTTCCTTTCTTTAAAATCTTCTGCTCAATCTTACCTTTGTGACAGTTGCTTTCCTTTGAAGTTGGATAAAAATCTGAGTGTCTTCTATTCTCATCACGGGCCCTTAGGCTTTTGCTAGGCTGCTGCTTGACCATTTGCATCTTTAACTATGTTTGAGGGAAGGAGTGGTTTACCCATCTGAAACACAAAGGAATGGAGCAGGAACAGTTAATTCTGGCATGTCTTAAACTTTTGAGGGTTTAGCGTTGAAACCTTAATAATGTCCTTCTAACATTTTTTAATGGAATAATATATAGAGTCATAGAGTTTAATGCCAAAAGGGATCATAAGATCATCTAGTCCAGCAGTTCTCAGACTTCGTTGCACTGCGACCCCCTTCTGACAACAAAAATTACTTCACGACCCCTGGAGTGGGGACCGAAGCCTGAGCCTGCCCGAGCCCCACTGCCCTGGGTTGGGGGGGGGGGGGTAAAGCCTGAGCCTCACCATTCTAGGCAGGGTTCAGCCAAAGCTGAAGCTCAAGGGCTTCAGCCCCAGGCAGGGGACCTGCAACCTGAGCCATGCCACATAGGGCTGAAGCTCTCTGGCTTTGGTTTCGGCCCTGGGCAGCGGGGCTCAGGCTTCAGCCCTGGAACCCATCAAGTCTAAGCCAGCACTGGCAACCCCATTTGGGGTCCCGACCCACAGTTTGAGAACTGCTGATCTAGTCTGATCATCTGCATATGATAGACCTCTGCCACCACCACCATTGTCACCCAGGACCCACACACTAAATCCAACAATGGAAATGAGATAAAAATAAATGAGACCCACAGGAAACTAGACTATTAGGTGCCAGAGGCAAGTGAATAGGACAGACCGAGGTGCATCAGTGAGTGAGGCCCCAGCAGTGGCCAGGAAACGATTAAATGAGATATACTGAAATAATCCTGGTAAGTGACCTGCACCCACATGCTTCTGAGGAAGGCAAAAAAAAACCCAAGGTCACTGCCAATCTGACCTGGGGAGGGGGATTCCTTCCCAACCCCACTTATGGTGATCAGTTAGAGCAAGAACCAGCCAGCCAAGCACCTGAGAGAGAAAATGCTTGGTGACACCTCAGAGCCCTGGCCCACCCTGCCAAGTGTCCTGTCTCCAGCTGTGGCCATCCCTGATACTTCAGAGGAAGAAGATAAAAAAAGGCCTCCCAGAATATATGGGCACATGGGAGGCGGGGAGATCACTTCCTGATCCCTGCAAGTGGCCAGCTAAATCCTGAAGCATGAGCTTTCGGAACATAAACTGGAAGTGAGCCCCAGGGCTGCTGTTCTCTGTCCCCCACCATCACAGGCAAACCTGTCATGCAATTGCACTCATAAATGTGTCCCGCTCTCTCAAAACTAAAGTGTTTGCCCCCACAGCTACTACTGGGAGGCTATTCCAGAATCTCACCCTTCTGATGGTTAGAAACCTTCTAATTTCCAGCCTGAATTTGTTCATGGCCATTTTATATCATTTGTTCTTGTGCCAACATTGTCCTTTAGCTTAAATAGCTCTTCACTGTCCATGGTACTTACCCCCTTGATGTATTTATAGAGAACAATCATATACACTTTCACCCTTCTTTTTGTGAGACTGAACAAGCCAAGCTCTTTTAATCTCATCTCATAAAATAGGCCTTCCATTTCTCTATTCATCCAATTAGCTCTTGTCTACACCTGTTCCAGTTTGAATTAATCTTTCTTGAGCATGGGTGACCAGAATTGTACACAGTATTCCAGATGAGGTCTGACCAATGCCTTGTACAATGTCATTAATACTTCTCTATCTCCACTGGAAACATCTCCCCTAATATGTCCTAGGATTGCATTTACCTTTTTCATGGATGCATCATGTTGGTTGCTCATCCTCTGATTGACTTATGCACCCAGGGGTCTCTCTCCTTCTCTTTCATTTCCAACTGATGAGCCACCAGCTTGTAGCAAAAAGAAAAGGTTTCAGAGTAACAGCCGTGTTAGTCTGTATTCGCAAAAAGAAAAGGAGTACTTGTGGCACCTTAGAGACTAACCAATTTATTTGAGCATAAGCTTTCTTGAGCTACAGCTCACTTCAGAAATTCTGATTATTAGACCCCAAGTGCATGACCTTGCATTTTGTACTATTTAATTTCATCCCATTTCTGTCACTCCAGTCTTCAACGTCATTCAGATAATCTTATGTACTAATCTGATCCTCCTCTGTATGATGATGCCTCCAAACTTTGTATCAACAGCAAATTTCAAGAGCACACACCTACTTTTTGTGCCAGGATTATTAACAAAAATATTGAATAAGATTGGTCCCTAGACTGATCCTTGAGGAACGCCACTAGTATCCTCTCTCTAGTCCAATAATTCACCTTTTCACCTATTCAATCTTTTAGATAAGCAAAGTGCAGTAAAAGTTATTTTCTCAAAAGATGAAATTAGGTTATTTCAGCATGATCTACCATTGGTAAACGCTTTACCGTTTACCTGTATGAATTTAATTATTCTTTCGTTCACAATTTGTTCTCAAACCTTGAATACTACTGAGGTCAGTCTAGCAGGTTTGTAATTGCCTGTATCACTTTTTTTCCCCCTTTCTTAAAAATAAGTACAACATTAGCTATTCTCCAGTCATATGGTTCTACCCCTTCGTGAATAGATTTATTTCCTTAAGTCCTTGCTACTGGACTCACAATCTCATGTGCCAGTTCTTTCAATATTCTGGGATGGAAGTTATCTGGTCCCCCACCCCTAACCCCTTCCTCCCAACTTGAAGGCATCAAACTCTTTAAGTTTTTCTTCCACCTCAGTTCCACCTCTAATTTCCATTTCTTAGACATTCATTTCCATCAGCCATTGTGCCTTCGTGAACATGTTCCATATTATCCTAATCATTGAAAACCGAGGCAAAGTATTCATTTAGTTTTTGGGCCATACCTAGATTATCTGTAGTCTCCTTCCTAGCCACACTGCATAGCTGCAAACATCATCCTTCCTTTTTCGCTTTTTTATTTATATAACTAAAAACCTCTTCTTTTAATTTCTTTGGCAAGAGCTAATTCAGCTTGACTTTTAGAAATTATCACTTTATTCCTGCGTTTTCTAACCACCATGATGTAACTTTCTTTGCTGGTAATCCCTTTCCCCATTCCTTATAGGCCTCCGCTTACTCTTAATAACCTTTTTGAGGTGGTTATTCATCTAGCTGCAACTGGAGCCTTTCCGTTCAAGTTTTTTCCCCTTCCTTGGGATGCAGATTTCTCAGATAGTTTTTGTATAGTTCATTTGAAGAAATTCCAAGACTTCTCCACATTTAAATCATTGAGCTCTTCAGTCCAGTTGACTTCTTTGGGAAATTAAGGTAATTAGTTAAAATCTGCCCTTTTGAAATCAAAATCCGTAGTTGACAACCTGGTTTTGATTATCCTTCTATTTAATGTATCAATTTGTGATCACCTGATCCAAAGCTAGTTCCTATAACCAGCTCTTCTACTTACTAAAACTAAGTCTAAAATTGCATCACCTCTTGTTGGTCCAGTGACAGTTTGATGAAGAAAATTGTAATCTGTCACATTCAGGAATAACTGGGCCCTAAGAGCATTAGTAGCATTTATGCTCCAATCTTTATCTGGGCCGTTAGTCTCCCAGTATGATACAATTTCCAAAAGAACTTATTGCTGATTGCTATCCATATCCAAGTCTCCTTGGGGGGAGAAAAGACTGTAATAGACCCATAACATTATCCCAACAACACCTCTTTTACAATCCTTCCTCAAAGTGGTTGTGACCCAAATACATACTGTTTTTTTCCATACTATCACTTGTATTTCTTTACAACAGAGGTTCTCAAACTGTGATGTGTGGACCACCAGTGGTCTGCAAGCTCCATTCCGGTGGTCCGCAGATAGTTCCTTCTAAGATGCGTGCCTGGGCGCCCACACATAAGAGAATGAAGGGCCACCCACCTAATTATTGGAGCCGTGCAGGCATGGCTCCACTAATTAGGTGCCTGGCCCCTGGAGAAGATGCACATGTAAGGTGAGGTGGTGGCCTTGTGGGCAATAGGGAGTAGGTGGGAGGGGGAAGTGTGGTGATAAAATTGGGTAGGGGGAATTCGGGATGTGCAGGGCTGCGGCGGCCAGAGAAAGAGGCGACTTTCCCCAGCTCTAAGGCTGCGGCTGCCGGGGAGAGACGGCCCTCCTTGCCAGCCTCAGCTTGGAGGCTGCCACAGTAGTGGACAGAGGGAGAGACACCCCTCCCTTCTTCCCAGCTCAGGGGCTGCCGTGGCGGGGGAGAGTGGGCACTTCGATTGCATTAGAAAGATAAAACCACTAATATTAAAATATGAATTGTGTGCTTCTATTTGAAGAATAAAAAAAGTTTTTTTTTTTTTTTAATTATTTAAAGCGCTTTACAATAGTTAGCTAACAGTACAAGCAACATTTGGGAAGATCATTAAGTGGTCCGCCGAGACCCTCAGCAATTTTCAAGTGGTCCGCGAAAAAGAAAGTTTGAGAACGACTGCTTTACAGTTTACTGCTTCATTGATGTACAGTTCCAAACATGTTTACCTTTTATTTCTCTCTTCTTAACCACACATACTCTTCAATGCCTGTATTCCAGTCATGAGTGCTATTCCACCATGTGTCTGTAATCCCTATAATTTCTGGTTTGACCTCCTGCAACAGTAGTTCCACTTACTCCATTTTATTGCCCAAACTCCTTGCATTCTTGAATAAGCATTTCAGTTGTTTCCCTGGGACCTCACCTAGTTTTCTAGCTTGTGGTGTTCCATTATCCCTTACTGTGTCTTCATTTAGCTGATTTTCCTGCTTCTATGTATTGATGCCAGGCATAGAGATATTTTCAAATCTCTCCCAACCTTATTCCCCCATCTTATTTAAAGCCATTCTTATCAGTCATGCCAGCCTTAATCCCAGAAGATTAATACCCCAGGTACTCAAGTGGAGTCCATTAGTTGAGAAGAGTCTTGTTTCCCTAAATGCCTCCCAATAGTTGATCATCCCAAATCCTTGTTGCACCAGTCCTTGAGCTATTTGTTGATTTTAATTGTCTTGTCATGCATTCTCCCTCCTTCTCTAGGGACCAGAAGTATTCCACTGAAAATCACCCAAGCTTCCTCTTAGCATCTTACTGAGCTGAGCATAGTCATCCTTGATCTATTTCAGTGGGAATCTAGCAGTGTTCTTCATCTTGACTTGCAGTACAACTTGTGGATTTTTGCCCACTCCTCTCAGGATCCTCTTCAGCTCCATATCCACATCTTGGCGCCTGGGACATAGCACACTCTTCTGTTCTCTGGATCTGTTCTGGTTATAGGCCTGTCAATTCTTCTGAGTATAGGTCACATATACCTGATCATATAGACCTGTCTGTTCCTTGTATTAGTATGAATACTTGCATGTTATCCTCCATTTTCCTTAGGCTCGGGTCCATCATCTCTTCCTCTTTTTTCTGCAGGAACTGGTTTCCCTTCTTTTCTTTCTTGCCACCGCATCTTCTGCCTGATTTTTCTTCTCATTCTCCAGTGCAGCAAAACTGTTACTTAACTCAGTTTCACACTAGGTGGTCTCTTCCTCTGCTTTGTCCTTATGGTTACGTTTTCCCATGGATCTGGCAGTCCTCCCTTTAGCTCCTTTTGTTTGGCAGGTGTCCACAGATCTTTAGTTGCTGTACCACCTTCTCTGTCCTCTTCTGCATTATACCTTCAAATCCCCTTCTAAATTTCATCATCTCCAGCTTCATCTCTAATCCTTGGATCTTCTCTGCCATGAGCTCCGTCAAGTGACGTTTCATACATAAGTAGCTCCCACCAGATGTACGTCTCCCCAGCTTCTGCATCTAACCATCTTCTCCTATCCTATCCTCCATAGGAGCCTCAGTAGCCATCATTGTTTTATCTTCCTATGCACTATTCCTGGTGGTGGGAGGGGGGAGAAAGGGAAGTAGTGTGGGGGTATCTCATTCCCCAAACTCTGCTGTTAGCTGTTCACTGCTCCAGTGTTTGTTAGTAACTGGCTTTTAAATCTGACTTTTATTGGAAAGCACAGTAAACACTTATGGTCCAGATTGTGCCTAGGCCTTACATGGGCATGTGCAGGTAAATGGAGAAGTAGTAGAGTGGTACTTCCACCATGTTGGCCTGGCAGTGTGCACCAGAGAGGGTGGGCCATGTTGTTTTCACTCCTCTGCACTGTTCCTCAGACCTGTACCAGCACCACTAATACCATTTGAGGAAGACAGCAGGGCTAAGATACCCCCTACATTGAGAACTCCAGGAGGTAATCTGTGTCCAGGAGGGGAGCTTCTTGGAGCAGAGCAATCTACACTGTTCGCAAAACATGGCTGTGCCATAGAAGCACAACAGAGCCTGTAACTAGCACGAATTATGTGAACCATTTGTCACCCCGACAGTTTCACTATTTAAATGTTTTCACTTCTTATGATTTGATGTGGCACATTACTTTCTTGCTTTTTGTGCTGCACATGTATTTGGAAGGAGCATCTTATCGAAAGGCATTAATTCTGTTTGTGTGGTGTAAATTTATATGTGCAGGGCAGGTTACAGCAGGAGTTATATAAAACTACAGATGTTGTTTTATTGCTTGGGAGGCATTTGAATATTAATCCCTTACAATAGGCCAAAATGTGTGGGTGTATCTTTCAGAACCATTCAGTTTCTCATAGAGCAATCTTATTTGTTGGGTTTGAATTGTAACTATTTTTCATGATCTTTCTATCTCAGGGGTTCTCAAACTGGGGGTCGGGACCCCTTAGGGAGTTGCAAGCTGTCAGCCTCCACCCCAAACCCCGCTTTGCCTCCAGCATTTATAAAGGTGTTAAATAAATTAAAATATGTTTTTTTAATTTATAAGGGGGGGGTCACACTCAGAGGCTTGCTATGTCAAATGGGTCACCTGTACAAAAATTTGAGAACCACTGTTATATTTGAAGTAATCCTGAAACTTTAAAGTTGCAATTGAAATGTATTCACCTCGTCCTGGTGAATTTCTAAGAATGTGACCATTTCTGGACATTCAGTTCTTTTGAACTCTTTCATATGAGATGCATATTTCTATAGGACAGGTGAATTGGAATGGAAGAAAGGTATATCTAATTCACATTTCCCTATTCATTACATTACATATACTTAGGGGTGTAAATTAAAGATAAACTCTGTCAAGATGTAGCTAAATGGCTCGAAAGGATAAACTGGTTCAGCAAAATCAGGTTCTTTATCATGTCAAGTTTGATTGAATGGTGTACAGTGTAATGTGTTTCTACAGGAATGTACCCGGTAGACCAGTCAGAGTATAACAACCTGAAAAGTGCTATAGAAAAACTGACACTAAATGATTCCAGTGTAACTATTCATCGGGATAGCAGCCTTGCCTTAGGAGCTGGATGGAGGTGAGACTTACTACAATTACTACACTTTAATTTTAGGAAGCGTCTTATAATATATGGGGGGGGCTTGTTGATGGTATAGGTCTTTTACTTCTGGGGATTTTAATTCTAATTCATATTAGGCCTAAAGTGAGTGCTTGATCTTATTTCTAGTCCATTTTCGTGTACAGCACACAATTTGTCTTGATTGGCAGTCTTCCTTCAAGAGAAGCCCTGGAGTAGAGCTGGGAGAAATTTCTCAGATTAATAGTTAATTTGCCAAAAAGTTCAGTTTTTGGGGTGGGTGTGTTTGTTTCTGTGTGTCTGTCTCACTAACCACTGGGCTAAGAGTTATAACACAATTGGGCTGAGAGGAGATTTGAATCCACATCTCTGACCTACCTTACCTACCACCCAGGTGAGTGCCCCCGTTTGCTGGCCAAACCAAAAAAACCCACAATTATTTGCTTGGCTCTATCCTGGAATCAAAGGGCATAGATGTCATTGGTCAGGATTAAGGATTGCCTTTACTGTGCTTGACATTGCCATATCATTTAGTTTCCTAGCACTGTATTAATAATGTAAAATAATACCATAGGAATAGAGTGCACATTTTGAATAACAAAGTATTTTTTTTTTAGGTTGGGGTTTCTTGGTCTTCTACATTTGGAAGTTTTTAATCAGCGCTTGGAGCAAGAATACAATGCATCTGTCATTTTGACTGCACCCACTGTTCCATATAAAGCTGTTCTTTCCTCAGCAAAACTGAAAAAGGTATTGTAATTTAGTTACAGGAGCTTGAAATGAACAGCAGCCTAAAACCTTTTCTAAGCTAGTAAAATAAATTGTAGATCAGTATCTTATAGGTGAAGCAGCAGCGTCTTCTCACTTGTTTAGGTTCCTTAGCACTATACATTAAAAAAATTCCTCAGGCTGTGGGTTCAAAAAAAAAAAAAAAGGAACTCTAGTGTCTCTAAAAAGAAAAGGAGTACTTGTGGCACCTTAGAGACTAACCAATTTATTTGAGCATGAGCTTTCGTGAGCTACAGCTCACTTCATCAGAAGTAGCTCACGAAAGCTCATGCTCAAATAAATTGGTTAGTCTCTAAGGTGCCACAAGTACTCCTTTTCTTTTTGCGAATACAGACTAACACGGCTGTTCCTCTGAAATCTAGTGTCTCTGTGGCTTGCAGCACAGCATTGAAATTTGGCAGGGATAGTTCTGGGAAAAAGGAGGCTCTTTTGCTGGCTCCTTGTGCACATGTACAGAATTGGCTGAGGTACAAGCTCTTGAAAATTGCCATTTATGCCCTGCATTTGTCTTGATGTGAAAAACCCTGCATGTTCTATATGTGCCTGGTAGGGCTGTCAAGCGATTAAAAAAATTAATAGCAATTAGTTGTGCTGTTAATAATAGAATACCATTTATTTAAATATTTTGGATGTTTTCTACATTTTCAATTATACTGATTTCAGTTACAACACAGAATACAAAGTGTATAGTGGTCACTTTATATTTATTTTCATTACAAATATTTACACTGTAAAAACAAAAGAAATAGTATTTTTCAATTCGTCTAATACAAGTACTGTAGTGCAATCTCTTTATCATGAATGTTGAATTTACGTGTAAAATTTTAGAGCCTAAAAGTCCACTCAATCCTACTTCATGTTCAGCTAATTGCTAAGACAAACAAGTTTGTTTACATTTGCAGGAGATAATGGTGCCTGCTTCTTGTTTACCATGTCACCTGTTTTGGATCGTTATCGAGCAGAACCTGTCATCAGCATGGACGCAGGTCCTCTGGAATGGTGGTTGAAGCATGAAGGGACATACAAATCTTTAGTACATCTGGCACATAAATACCATGCAATGCTGGCTACAAACATGCCATACAAATACATTTCTCACTTTCAGGTGACGTAAATAAGAAGCGGGCAGCATTATCTCCTGTAAATGTAAACACACTTGTTTGTCTTAGCGATTGGCTGAACATGAAGGAGGACTGAGTGGACTTGTAGGCTCTAAAGTTTTACACTGTTTTGTTTTTGAATGCAGTTATGTAACAAACAAAATCTACATTTGTAAGTTAGTTTCACGACAAAGAGATTGCACTACAGTACTTGTATAAGGTGAATTGAAAAATACAATTTCTTTTGTTTATCATTCTTACAGTACAAATATTTGTAATAATAAATACTGTGAGCACTACACTTTGTATTCTGTGTTGTAATTGAGATGAACGAATTTGAAAATGTAGAAAAACATCCAACAATATTTAATAAATTTTCAATTGGTATTCTATTGTTTAACAGTGCGATTAATCACAATTAATTTTTTGAGTTTACTGTGTGAGTTAACTCCGATTAATCGACAACCCTAGTGCTGCGTCATAACTCCATAATTATGTCTGTGGGGGCATGCAAACCTGATTGATGAGGAAGAACCTTCTCCACCTGGAGACATGCTCTTCTGTTAAATTTTGTATTGCAACGGAGAAGCATTCATGTGGAGCTGCTGACAGATAAAAGATTCTCTCCCCTTCACTTTTGCCTCCCCCCCGTCATGTCTGTCCCCTCATCCAGTGTCAACTTCCAACTGAGCTTAACGAAACAAGACAGGTAATACACAGACTTTGTTTGGAAGCAGTTAGGGTTGCTACACACCTCACATGCCAGGTGTACAAACCCACAGAAGCAAGGAAACAAAGTTAAGCCGCCTAACAGTACATACGATCTATCCTTGCACCCACAGGTACATTATCACTATTACAATTACAGACCACACATCAGAACCGTAACTGTTCATCTACGGATGCCAGCCTTCCATGACACCTTTTATCTACCCTTCAGCGTACATCGCTCCTTGCTAAACTTCCTTTTAGCATACCAAACATCCACAATTGCCAGTGTTGGAGAAAACATCTGGAAAAAGGATGTGTGCAGAAGGGTGCAGACAGGGAAAAATTAAGGCTGCAATCTGTGGCATGTGGTATTACACTGTTTGTGGTATTGATAAGTTGTGTGCTTGTGCGTTGAGGGGTAAGCTAGTCATATTACAGTAACTCCTCACTTAAAGTCGTCCCGGTTAACGTTGTTTTGTTGCTGATCAATTAGGGAGCATGCTCATTTAAAGTTGCACAGTGCTCCCTTATAACATGCTTTGTCCACTGCTTGCAGGAAGAGCAGCCCGTTGGAGCTAGCTGGTGGGGGCTTGGAACCAGGGTGGACCGGCAGCCCCACTATCAGCTCCCTGTTCCCCTAAATTCCCTGTGCGGCAGCTGCCCAGCAGGCTATCAATTGCCAGCAGTTCAGCTGTCCCTCCCCCCATTGCCATGTGCCACACATAGAACACTACTGGGGACACTGATAATATAGATTCTGCACCTATTGCTGGTGGGAACCAAAGAGACATGAGCTCACGTCTCGCTTGTTCTACTGACTTGTGCCCTTCAAAACCCTTATTATTGAGCAAGGCCTCCTATCCATTGAGAGTTTACACAATGGGTTAGAATCTAGGTCTCTGATATGGAAGGACCCTGGTGTCAGGCTGGCCATTCAGTCACACTGTCTATAAAAAGAAAAGGAGTACTAGTGGCACCTTAGAGACTAACCTAGTACTCCTTTTCCTTTTGCAAATACAGACTAACACGGCTGCTACTCTGAAAACTGTCTATAAAATTTTCCAAATCTATCTACTCAGCTAAGCTGTCTATAAAATGGGACTACTGCATATTTAACCCTCTGTTTGAAAAACATAATTTGTGGTCATGTAACTCAAGACCCACATCATAATGCATCTGCACAAGGGGGCAGAATTAATGTTGCGCAGGCAGGCAGCTTTAATTCTGGCACTTCCTAACTTCAGGCTTATGAAGTCCAGCACTCAGAATAACATTATTTTATTTTTATGTAATTAAGTCTACATTGTGCTGCCTGTGGGAGATCCTGTCTCTAAGTAACTTCGGATCTTAGTGCTGAGAGACTGATATACAGACTGCAATTTCTCTGTGACAATATTTCCCACATTTTTCTCTCCCAAAAAGCTGTAACAAGATTTGAATTGAACTATGAAAAGACTCTTGTGATGCATCTGTATAATATTTGTTTTGGCAGGAGAGACAGAGCAGAATTATTTTAATTGGAATACAGTCAAGAATAAAATGGCAAACTTTTCAGTTGTTCATGAGTTTAGTGCTGTCTCATGTAAAGTGAAGGACTTCTGCAGCGTGCCACTCGAGCTCATAAATTTCCCATTGATTTTAATTTAAAATTAGTGAATACCTGTTCCATGGGAGCAATTTACTTTTCAGCACATCTCATTATGGGTTCCACAGATAATGTTTCTAGCAATACAATTATGCAAAATATAGAAATTGCATTTTCTCTGAGCTGTAGCCTTTCAGTTACAGTTCAGCACAAACATAGCATGCAAGGGATTCCATCTCTTCTCACTTTCCTGAAAGTGACTAAAATTGGCATTCACTGGAGTTCAAAGACGAAGGAAGAAATACAGTCATGCCATGAAGCAATATCTCATAATTCAGGTGGTTCTGTGCATCCTTTTAGATACACACAACCCCTTGATTAAAAGGTGACTGTTTCAGAAAAATGATGGTCATAAGGATTAAAAGTTATGTTGGCCTGAAGTCCACAACTTGTAAGACCAATGATAACACTCCTGGAGCGATGGGAGTAGTGACTGATTTCAGGTTCATTGTCTTGCAAACCATTAGGGCTATAAAAATGAATGCTGTACAGTGCTGGACAGCTTGAAAATGTATCAATAATTTCTTAGCTTACTAGGTCAAGATATCTGACTTTAAAATAACATGTTCTGAGTATCATCTTGCCTTTTCCCAGCAACTTCAATTTTCAACTGATTTTGGTGGCTGCTGTCTCAAATTGTTTAAAACCAGAGCCAATTCTTTATATCATCTAAAAGTCTGGAATCCCAGCAGTCAAATAGTGTAAAGCATTAATCTGTAACTCAGCGTTTGAGACTCCTGCCTCTTACTTGTTGCAGAATTTAGTCAATATGTAGTGAATAATGAAAGTGCCCTTTTCCAGTCTGGGGGTTGGATGTTATGCAGTGAATATTGAACAATGAGGATAAAAAATAAATATTGAGCAAATGCTTTATTCACTGGTCACCTTTCAGCCTTAATGATCTTTTAATGTAGTTTTTGTGTGAAATTCTTCTTCATTGGTATTCATAATAATCTTTCTACATAATGTTTGGACGGTGCATGAATTTTCATAGTGAAAACGAGAGGCTTTTAAAACCATCTTTTGCAGAGGTACAGTGCTCTTACATTTCAGCTATTCCTTTAATCTAATATTAATATTATGATAACCATTGACAGTAGACAAGACTGTATGGTATTTAGGAGATTTTAATTACATTGTGTTTTATTCCTATCCTTCTGCATTGATGGTAAATCTGTTTTTCGGTTCAGTATTTAAACATACCAATTTAGATGGCTGACATTTAAAAATATTCCATTCAAGTACTTTTATGTCTTTGACTGAAATGCGATGTCTGGTAGTGCTTTAAAATCATATTTGCCATGAATTTGAGATAATCACATTTCTCACAAGTGTTTCCCCAAACAATTGCAATATACAACAAGGAATCCGGTGGCACCTTAAAGACTGACAGATTTATTTGGGCATAAGCTTTCATGGGTAAGAAACCACTTCTTCAGATATATGGAAGAAGTTGGTTTTTTATCCACGAAAGCTTATGCCCAAATAAATTTGTGAGTCTTTAAGGTGCCATTGCACTCCTTGTTGTTTTTGTGGATACAGACTAACACGGCTACCCCCTGATAATTGCAATATAATTTATATAATCTCACAGCATGAAATTTTGTGAAGCTTCCCCCCTTTCATGTATTTTAAATGGGAAAAGTCTTCTAGAAATACTGCCATTGACAAAAAGGGTGGGAGCTAGTGATATTCGTAAGCGCAGTATAAAAAGTCATTTATATATATGGAGGTCAGAGTAGATGATCATGATAGTCCCTTCTGACCTTAAAGTCTTTGAGGCTATGTGTTTTATGTGACAATTTTTCATCCATTGTAACACCCCTGTAGATTATTTTTACAATTAAAACTAACTCAATTTAATAAATTGAAAAATTGAGCACTGATGATCCTTCTTTACTTTCAGTGTATTTTAAATTAACCAGAATTAAGACTTACATGTAACAAAAAGATACACTTGTCTATGGTAAGCCACCACAACATTCTGAAGAGAGGTTATAGATGCTCTGCAGCAACGCTTTATTCATTCAAAATAAACATTGATTTGTGTTGACAAAGGGCTTGCTTCTGGGAGTTTTGTGTGAGAAATGCTTGCAGAATTGGGATCACAGTCATGATGCCTAGTTTTTAAAAGTAAACACTCTATTTTGGTCCGCTACATTTGGCACAAAAGTAAGGTAGAGGTAAAATCGTGTGTTTTAATCTACTTGATATTGGAGATAGTTACCTGCCTTACTGTACCAGACAATCATTAATACCTGAGGCGGCAAAGGTAGCTTTACATTTTAATGTTGCTGCTTCCTTATACTTAATGAACATCAAAAACTTATGAAACAAGAAATAATAATGTTAGTGTTCTTATTTTCATAAATAAATTTCCAGAAATGTCTTTCCTCTAATCAGTGGTCTGAGAATAAAGTTCACTAGAAGTACTTGTAAAGGGACTCTAGTGGAAGCAAGTTCTTGATTCAGTTGATGTCTTTCCTTTTGTAGGAGCACGGGAAAGAGGAGATTACTGTTATCAACCCTGCTGAGTTTCCTGATAAATCTTCAGTATCAGAATATTTGGAACCAACCGTTTTGGGGACTATCATAACACCTGATGAATATATTGGAAAAATAGTAACTCTCTGTCAGGTTTGTATAGAATTTTAGTTTTGTGATTGCACTCTTAAACCAGATGTGGTATCTAGATACCACAGTGATGGGTACCATAGGAATGTTTAGTAATAATACTCTCTCAATAATATCAAGATTTAAAACTGTCAGGTCTGAATGACATCACTTTTCTGAATTATAAGGTCATCTAGCAAGGTAATATCTTTTATTGGACCAACTTCTGAAGAAGAGCTCTGTGTAGCTCGAAACTTTGTGTCTCTCACCATCAGAAGTTGGTCCAATAAAATATATTACCTCGCCCACTTTGCGTCTCTAATGTCCTGTGACCAACACGGCTACGACACTGCATACAAGATTATCCAGTGAAAGATAGCTACTCAAGCTCAACCCCGGAGAGTCTTTTAAACAATTGATCCAGCTCCCAATTAAAGAGATGGGGTTTTGCTAGTTTGTTTCACCACTAAGGAGGGGAATCACCAATGGGAGATGCTGGCGGTATTAGGTACAGCATATGTAGGAGTAATTTAATTAAATATAATTTCTATCCACAGACCTGAATAACAGCAGTTTCTCTTGCTTAACTTAGGGAGTTTTGCAGTTTCTTGTCTCTCTGACAAGTGTTGCAAATATGATATGCTTTACCTGACTCTGCCATGTACATATGTTGAACAAAGCAGGATGATGGAAATTATAGTCAATGATTCAAATAATCCCATTCTGGTAGAAAACTAACATTGTTTCCATTGATTACATCTGCAGTACACATTTTAAAAGCTTGATTCTTCGCCCAAACACCTTCCCCTGTTGCATGTGCAATATTTTACTCTATTTTTTTTTAAATGTGTACATTAAAAATAAATAAACACTGTTCCTAAAAGTAGTATTTTATATGGTTTTGTATATACAAACTTTGTCACAAAATGTTTTGTAGTATACAAAATTACAGTATACCTAATTCAGGACAGTATATTACTATGTCTGTTACATTAGTGCCGAAAGTATATATGGGATGAAGACATTGTATAGTTAAATAAATAAATATATAAAAATAAGACTATTGAAAGGAGTTGGGCCCTGATCCTACAAGCGCCCCATCATGGCTGGTCTCCTGTGTCTAACAACCTTGACTTTATTGGGGCTGCCTGTAGATGTAAAGCCCACCCACTAAGAACTGCTTGCAAGATTAGGACATTAGGGAGCAGCAGCAGAAGCTCTTAAGATTTTCAGTGATGAGACAAGAGGCATTAGCAAATATATGCATGGGATGGATCTCTAGACCATTAGTGCAAAAATAGCCGCCACTTGAATTATGATGCTGTAATTCTCCATGAATTCTGGGAATCTAAACAAAACTACTTAACAAAAAAAAAAAGTGCTCAAACTGTCTGATGGCTTGTTGCCAGAACTTTTCTGTGTAATAATAGCCCCATATTTGCCCGTTTGTTCTGTATTTGTGTTGTGAGATTTTTCTGCTGAGGAGAGTTCATTCTTTTAAAGTGTCATATTTATTAGACTCGCAGGGCTGTTCAGAAGGACATGGTGTACATTGATGAGCACAGGGTTATGCTGAAATATATCTTCCCGCTGAATGAAATTGTGGTGGATTTTTATGATGCTTTGAAATCACTCTCTTCTGGATATGCTAGGTAATTTTTTTTCTTAAAATACAGTGTAAGAATTTTGAGTAAGTGCTCAACTCATTATTATCATTAAACACCATATTCAGAGAAGCATAGCCATGTGTAATAGCATTTCCTCAAGGAGTTTACAATGTAGATTAAACATAATAGAGAAGGGGATGACAGATGGTGGGGGTGGGGATATGGCAAGGACAAGGGATACAACAGTGAAAGATTGGATAAACTTACTGTTATGTTCATGTTTGACTAAAACAAATACATCTTTGCTCAGACTGCTACCAGAAAGCTTAAAAAAAAAGGGGGGGGGGTGAATGGGGTGGGGAGAAGGTTACCAGTAGATGTTGAATGTTTCACCAAAATAAGATTTTGTGAAATGTAAGAGATCTTGACTTATGTCTATTTATAATATTGTGTGTGTGCGCGCGTGGGCGCGCTATGAATATTTTGCATACTTAGTAAGGGCAGTGTGTAACCATGTTAAAAATAAAACTATTAAAATCTAATGTTATTAATAAAACTCTACTACAGCAGCTTCTTTCATAAAAGCTGTAGAACGTTCCTGTGGAATAGGAAGATATTAAACCCATTTTGCAGATGAGTAAACTGAGGCAAGGCCATACTGTACATCACTGACAGAACTGGGAATAAAACAGAAGAAACCCGACTTGTAGAAGAAGAAACTCCTGACATTCCCTTTTCTTATATATCAGTTCTGCAATAACAATGGCTAAATGACACACATTGTAGAGAGAAACCATGTATAAGGTATAAGTACAGTACCTTCCACCCATTTTGGGTATTGTGATTGTTATTGGGAATGGAATTTCCTATTATCAGTTCTTCATTAAGTTACACTCAGACCTGCAGGCAGAGGTTTGAAAATCCCAGCCTAATAAATCAGGTCATGTTATGAAAATCAGTGGCAGTCAGTTTAGAAATCAGCTAACATAATTTACTGTGATATATAACTATCCCCTTGCCAGCTGTACATTATGCAGTGTCCAGTGCTCTAATGTGAGAACTAGCATTATCTACTTGTCAAAGGGAACCTTGACAATGTACTTTTATTCATTAATTCTTCTTTCCAGTGTGAGAAGGAAACCTTTCAAAATGTTAATTCATTAATACAAGTCTGAAGCCCAGATGAAGGGATATATTCTCAACTTTGTTCTGAGAATTAAGCAAATAATTTTCTGCATATTGAGATGAAATTTTGTTCCTTTAGGTAAAATAATCTTTACATCTGGTAGCTATAAAAATGTGCATATACTTACCAGCAGCCTTTAGGAGTTTAGGTGAAAGGAATATGTTGCGAGATAAATGGGATTTAAGCCAACAAACCTGCGTCTTATTATTGAAACCTGATCTCAGGAGTTTTGGTAGTAAGATGCATTATGCTTTGATACTGGTCTCATGATTTACTTTTTAATATCCACAATTGTGTTAGATATTTTACTGGCATAAGAATAACAGTTCCCTGCCTAAAAAGATTGCAGTTTAATCAACGTTCATATAATTCAATGGGTAGCAAGAGAGAACTCTTTGATTTACAGTGACAGGATTGCAAGATTGGTGGTTCTGCATGTTGTAGTGAAGTTTTTGGTTTTGTCCTTAAATATGTTTTATGAATATAGGTTTGATTGGATGTTGGGGTTTTTTGTGTGTTGTGTGGCTGAACTGGTAGGGAGAAAGAAAACAGGGAAGGGGAGAGGGTGGATAAAAAGAAAAATGAAGGGGGAGGAGAGTCAGAGGGAGGGAGGTGATTAAAAAGGGGTGTGGTGGAGGGTGGAAATGAAGGTGAGAGAGATGGGGAGAAGCATGATGGCTGGGGGTGGGGGTGAGAGAGAGGGAGGTCTGGAAGCAAATTGAGCATTGGAACCTGACAGGAGTAGGCAGAGAGCAACCAATTAGTCAAATGGAGAGCATATAAAAAACAGTTTGGAGTTTGTTTTGAGGTTTAGGATTCTCATTACATCAGAATATATAAAGGCTCTGCTGGAGCCACTTGGAGGGGAAGTTTCAAAGGCTGAGGCTTTAAGGTTGGTCCAAAGAAGCTCCTCACACTGGTGCTCTCATGTTGGCTTGGTGGGAAAGAAGTTTCTTGGATCTGGTATCCCTGAGTGGCTCCTGGAGAATCCAGTGGGGATGGTGGGTCCTGAGGAGAAGGGGGTCCTATAAAGGTAGCCAGCGAGTCAGGCAGTGGCATAGACAGCTGCAGTGGCACAGGAGCCAGCAAACAGAGCTGCAAACAGGGGAGTTTGAGTGGGAGTTCTGTTGGAGGAGAAGGTATTTGACTTAGGTGAGAAGGCTATGACAGGTGCAGAGGCAGCAGTGGTAGTGACCCAAGCAGCGGAAGACACAATGAAGATGCCTGGATGTAGAAGCTGTGGCATGTACATGATCCTGAGGTGGTACCTGAAAAGAGTTTCGTCTGCATGAAGTGCCGCTTGATAGAGCTGGTGGAAGAAAAGATCTGAGGATTGGAGATGCAGGTGGAAACTCTGGTTGAGTTTAGAAGAGGGTTCGAGTGGATGATGGAGCAAAGACATTAGCAGGACCCAAGACCTCTGAGGGGAGACCACTGGGTGAGAAAAGTGGACAGTGGAGGCATGTGACTAAGAGAACCAGGCAGAGAAAAAGATGGGCTAGTGAAGTAGAAATGGAGCTCAGGAACAGGTTTGCAGAGTTGGAAAATGAAGGGGCACAGCAGGTGGTCACTGAAGGTGAGAGGGCAAGGAAGAAGAGAAGAGCACCTAGTCCTACAGGAAGAGGGGAAGAGTCAATGGAGATAACACCAAATATGAGCCCCAGGAGGATACGGGATGGGTTGCAGAGGATTGCAAGGGACAATAGGAATCGAGAGGACTTGCAGCGAGAGGGAACGGGATAGACCAGAGAATCGCACCATCACCAGGAAAAGGCAGGTCTACATGATTGGGGACTCCTTACTGAGAAGAATAGACAGGCCTGTAACCAGAGCTGATCCAGAGAAAAGAAGGGTGTGCTGTCTGCCAGGTGTGAAGATACAGGACGTGGACCTGAGGCTGAAGAGGATCCTAATGGGAGTGGGAAAGAATCCACTGATTGTCCTTCATGTGGGAACAAATGATACGGCTAGATTCTCGCTGGAACGTATCAAGGGAGACTATCCCAGACTGGGGAAGATGCTTAAGGAAATTGAGGCTCAGGTGATCTTCAGTGGGATTCTGCCTGTTCCTAGAGAAGGGCAACAAAGGTTTGATGAGATTATGATGATCAATAGATGGCTCACACAGTGGTGCTATAAGGAGGGCTTCAGGATGTATGGCCACTGGGAAGCATTCATGGACAGAGGACTGTTCTCTCGGGATGGACTTCACCTGAGTAGGGAGGGAAATAGACTTCTAGGATGGAGGCTGGCACAACTGATTAAGAGAGCTTTAAACTAGGAATTTGGGGGAGATGGTTGGGAGATGTCCAGATAATCTCCACGCCAGATTTTAGTATTGAGAGGGAAGAAAACGAAGTAAGAAAGGATACAGCCGTGGGTAGGAGAATGGACATTAGGAGGAAGGGTAGTGTAGATACTAGTCTAATAGGTGATACTGGCAGTAGAATGTCTGTGCCTAATTGGGTAAAGAATGTGAGAGAAGCCAAACAGCAAAAATTAAGATGTTTGTACACTAATGCAAGGAGCCTAGGTAACAAAATGGAGGAACTAGAGCTATTGGTGCAGAAAGTGAAACCAGATATTATAGGGATAACAGATACATGGTGGAATAGTAGTCATAACTGGACTACAGGTATTGAAGGGTATGTGCTGTTTAGGAAAGACAGAAATAAAGGCAAAGGTGGTGGAATAGCATTGTATATCAATAATGAGGTAGACTGTAAAGAAATAAGTGATGATGGAATGGATAAGACAGTCTGTCTGGGCAAACACATTGGGGAAGAAAGCTACTAGAGCCTCCCCGGGATAGTGCTTGGGGTATGCTGTAGACCACCGGGATCCGATTTGGATAAGGATAGAGACCTCTTTAATGTTTTCAGTGAAGTAAATACGAATGGGAATTGCGTGATTTCAGTAACGCGTTTGATACAGTTCCACATGGAGAATGATTAATTGGAAAAGTCGGCTAGACGCAGAGCCGGAGTCGCTCTTGAATTTGTCCTCTTACTGACAGTAGGATCCGCCCTTCTAGGTGCATATCCTATTGGATAAATTGGAAAAGATGGAGATCAATATGAAAATTGAAAGGTGGATACAGAACTTGTTAAAGGGGAGACTACAATGGGTCCTACTGAAAGGTGAACTGTCAGGCTGGAAGGAGGTTACTAGTGGAGTTCCTCAGGAATCAGTTTTGGGACCAATCTTATTTAATCTTTTTATTACTGACCTTGGAACAAAAAGTGGGACTGTGCTAATAAAGTTTGTGGATGACACGAAGCTGGGAGGTATTGCCAATACAGAGAAGGACCGGGATATCATACAGGAAGATCTGGATGAGCTTGTAAACTGGAGTAATAGTAATAGGATGAAATTTAATAGTGAGAAGTGCAAGGTCATGCATTTAGGGATTAATAACAAAAAATTTTGTTATAAGCTGGCGACTCATCAGTTGGAAGTAAGAGAGGAGGAGAAGGACTTGGAGTATTGGTTGATCATATGATGACTATGAGCCGCCAATGTGATATGGCTGTGAAAAAAGCCAGTGCGGTCTTGGGGTGCATCAGGCAAGGTATTTCCAGTACAGATAAGGAGGTGTTAGTACCGTTATACAAGGCACTGGTGAGACGTCATCTGGAATATTGTGTGCAGTTCTGGTCTCCCATGTTTAAGAAGGATGAATTCAAACTGGAACAGGTACAGAGAAGGGCTACTAGGATGATCCGAGGAATGAAAAACCTGTCTTATGAAAGGAGACTCAAAGAGCTTGGCTTGTTTAGCCTAACCAAAAGAAGGCTGAGGGGAGATACGATTGCCCTCTATAAATATATCGGAGGGATAAATACCAGGGAGGGAGAGGAATTATTTAAGCCCAGTACCAATGTGGACACAAGAACAATTGGATATAAACTGGTCATCGGGAAGTTTACACCTGAAATTAGACGGTTTCTAACCATCAGAGGAGTGAAGTTCTGGAATAGCCTTCCAAGGGGAGCAGTGGAGGCAAAAGGCATATCTGGCTTCAAGACTAAGCTTGATAAGTTTATGGTGGGGATGGGATAGCCTAATTTTGGCAATTAATTAATTAGCAGTAAATATGCCCAATGGCCTGTGATGGGACACTAGATACGGTGGGATCTGAGTTACTTCAGAGAATTCTTTCCTGGGTGTCTGACTGGTGAGTCTTGCTCACATGCTCAGGGTTTAGCTGATCGCCATATTTGGGGTCAGGAAGGAATTTTCCTCCAGGGCAGATTGGCAGAGGCCCTGGGGGTTTTTCACCTCCTCTGCAGCGTTGGGCACAGGTCACTTGCTGGAGGATTCTCTGCACCTTGAAGTCTTTAAACCACGAGTTGAGGACTTCAGAAGCTCAGACATAGGTCAGGGGTTTGTTACAGGGGTGGGTGGGTGAGATTTTGTGGCCTGCATTGTGCAGGAGCTCAGACTCGATGATCATAATGGTCCCTTCTGACCTTAATGTCTATGAGTCTATATGAGACTAACCCCTGTTCAGTAGCTAGAAGAAAGGGTGCTGCCTTCCTGCCTGCGTTTTAGAACAAGCTTTTGCGCACAGTGTACTTATAATTCAGTTTCGGAGAGAGAACGGATTTATTAAAATATGGTTAAAAATTGCAGTACTCCTCCTGTAATGAAAATCCAAGTGTTTTATTAAAATGTGTATACAAAACAAATGCTAAAGGTCTAAAAGATTCCTGGAGTAGAGACTATATTATCAATTACAAGGTTGCAGTTGACTTTTTTTTTTCCTTTAGTTTTGATTATGAAGATGCAGGATACCAGGCAGCAGACCTTGTCAAAATGGATATTCTTTTAAATGGAAACTCTGTTGAAGAATTGGGAACTGTTGTACACAAGTAAGTAGATGAACTGGAGAATCCCAATCAGTGAATGAAAATGCTGCTGCTTTATATTTTCAGCATATATTAGTGAAAAAGCAGTGAGGATTTCATCCTGCAACCACCTTCAGGAATGATCTGCAAAGGAAGAAAAATGTTTTATAATTAGGAGAGAATTAAGAATCACATATTTGTGATTTTTAGAAAGAGATGCAAATACTTAACTAGAAAAACAGGAAGTGGAAGTTGTAAAAAGGAGGACAGGTAATTGCCTATAAGCAAAAGGTTCACATTAAGGAAAAAAAGTGTTAATCATTTGAAGAGAGCTTAAAAAAGGGGACACAGATCTTGTGGAGAGGATTGTTGAAAATGAGAAGCAAACTTACCAAAGGTACACAATTGAAAGTTGTCAGTTGTTTCATGCTCCAGATTACATCAATGCCATGTAAATTTAATATTATCTCAGTTTAATTTTGTAACGAGACATTAGATGCAACATTTTGAAGCTGCAGAGGAACGTATACATTGTAAAGTCAGGTGTCCTGTTGCAACTTCCTGCAGTACATGATGTTCTGGTTGTGTTCCTCTCGTTACAACTTTCCACTTGTTCTTCCAACTGCTGTCTTTACTAGTGTCCTTAATTCTCCTCTTCTTTTAGTTTTTCTCTTCCTTCCAAGATGTCTGAACCTTAATCTGCAGTTGCTGAAATTCATATTTACACTTTAGTTATTTTCTGTTATGACAAACTACAATCTTTCCTAAATTATTTGATTTCTTAACTTCAGAGGGTCAGAATAACAAAGCAAAACTGTCTTGCTCCAGGAAGATTGTTTCATTCATCCTTGCAATCAACTCTCTCTGATTTAATCTTCTGGCTTTCAGAATTTTCCATGGGTTCCCTAGTCTCTCACATTAAGCCTATGCCTACTCATTTTCCCACTTGTTCATATTGTTCCTAAAAAATTGGTATTTTATCTCTCATCTGCATCTCTTTGTAGTTGATTATTGCTTTTAAACAGGTACTTCTCTATTTGGGAACTCACTCCTGAACTGCTTCCTTTCATCAGAACTAACCTTAAAATCATTGTTCCCGTTATCCTAAAATTGACACTTAAATCCCACTCAGTATCATTTCCTCTTATCGCTGCATCTTTCAATCTCTCTCCTCACGCTGTAACTAGATTGCATATATTATAATGGAAAGTGTTATGTAACCTAAATACGGGGATTGCTACCAGCATCACCTATCATAAATATACACACCCATACGCATCTTAAATATATATATATTTATAGCGTTAAACTGCAGCTATTTATTTTACTGCATCTATCTATTGTACAGATAAAGGGAAGCTCAAATGTTGCTCTATCAAACTGTAAAGCATATATTTTCAGCTACTGCTTGCTATAAAATGTTTTGATACAGGACATTATAAAATTATTATTTTTTTTTTCCAGACCACAACAAAACTGTCAACATATAGCTTTGTCTTCTAGCCTTTTTGGAGCTTTTCAGTGTAAATTTGCTATCTCTGTCATTTCATGCTTTCAAAATCTGAAATATGTGCTAGTGCTGAATGCCTTTAGATAATAAGTTAAGAGAAACATTTAAAAATGTTTCTGAACGTAACTGTTTTGTGAGTAAATGTTTGAGAGGACTGTACTGACCTATTAAACCTCTAAAAGATTAAACATCCACCTCCCCTTGTAAAAATCTAAGAAATAACTGCTGAAATTATAATCTTATTTTGTGTGTGTCTGGATTATGCCTCAATCTATAGAGGCAGCCCTTTTATTTCAGTTTATTAAGTTCCTAGCCAAAGTCTGAGCTAGACATTTTTTAAAAACAAAAGATGTACAAGCATGCCAATTGAAGTTCTCCACCTCACCCCCAAAAATGTGTTCCCCTTCAACACATTATCACCCACACTTCTTATCTTCCACAAATAAAATCCTCCCATCTCAAACCCCTGAGACAAGTTGAATTTCTTGCAAACATACCCCCAGGCTAGCCAAACACATTCTCTTTGCTATCACAGCATTATTAACTTTAATATAGAGTCCAGGGATTTGAGGAAGTCAAAAAAGGACCAGAATTCTCAAATTATATACCTTTATATCAAAATGCTCTGAACTATACTAAACTTATTTGGGTTAAGTATTCAATATGATACATGTTTTATAACAGTCTGCACATTTAATTACTGAAGATTATTTGAAAAGCGCTTTGTTAATGTAATCAAATTATCATTTATCTTATATGAACTGATAGGCTGCAGGTGCAATGGTCTTTCTCCTCACCTTGGATAGAGTATTATGCTAGGATCAGAATATCTTTGATTTTAATAGGGAAATAGACCCTTTTCAGGAACAATACTTACTGTCTAGAAAACTGTTAATGATGATTCTCAAGTGTTTTCTCTCAGACTGCATTATTCTCTCAGAAAACAGTAGTGAATTTCCCTTTCAGAGACAAAGCTTATGCTGTTGGCAAAGCCATGTGTGAACGTTTAAAAGATGCTATTCCTAGACAGTTGTTTGAAATAGCCATCCAGGCTGCTCTTGGCAGCAAAGTCATTGCAAGAGAAACGTAAGTTACACCTTTTTTCCCTGGCTTTAGCTATCTTTTTAAGATATGATGAGGAGGAAATGTTTTATTTGTTTTTAAATATTTTTAAAATTTGTCCCTTCAGCCATAAACAAACAGATTTTGTTGTAAAATCTAGTCTGTTTAGGGGTAAACAGCAGAAGGTGCTGGCCCTCACCTGCAGCCAGTGGGAAAATTACTTGTGGTGGCCTACATTTTTTTTCCTCTCATTTATATAGTACTAGTCTCCCAAAATAAAACAAATATTCGATCTTCAGATTTGAATCTAATATTCTTTTGATGGCAGTAAAGTTGAATTGTCATATTGTAATTTTATTCAGTATAAAACCAGGTAATGTTTCTTAATGGATCAAGCACAGTAAATCACAAGGGAGTGTGACGGGTAGAATAGTTTCTCTCCAACAAAATCAGGTCACAGTGCTGAGTACGTGGTGAACACTAGGACCCCGGGGACTGAGCAAAGGTAGTTGTTCCCACATACTCACTCCAAGGGAAGTCTAATGCAGGCTCTGCAAGCTAGCTGTTCCCCTGCCAGCACCTACAGTACTCCCACTCCAAACTAACCATGGTTTCTTGGCATGACCCCAGTGCAGTCAGCTTTTGTAGCTGCAAAGGATTGTGGGATTTGGGTAGTGGTAAATAAATAACCCTGGGTGGCTTTTGGGTCCTAAGTGGAAATAGATTCTAAAATGTATGAATAGTAAGAATCATAGCACATATTTAATAAGCTAATCATACAGATGGTAGGGCATTGTCATCAGTTCATTTGCAATAACACTGTGCCACTGGCTCCATTAGGTTCTATTTTTTGCTTAGTGACAGTATTGTAAAGTTTTGAGTGTTAGTCAATTTGAAATAAGTCACAGGTAAGATCATTAACTAGAAAAGGGATTGTACTGTGCTAGTTATTTTTATATATACCCTTTAATGGATGCTTCCAGAATTCAAAAATATCAGACAGTTTGAGGCTTAGCCTCCTAGCTGACTTGGACTGGAGGATTTTAAAAGAAACACTAGTGATCTGTATGACAATACCCAAGCATCCTAGACAAACTACCTAAAAACATTTTGCCACCCATAGATTTGGGTTAATACTGGCTACTTCTTGGAATGTATTAGGGCTTGTGTGTTGGAAATGTACTGACATGTTGATGATGTATACAGATAGTATATGGTATCTTCTCTCCTACAGAGTGAAAGCTTACAGAAAGAACGTTGTGGCAAAATGCGTAGGTATTTTTCAATTCGGGGAGGGGGGTATTTCTGATATTTGAATATAGACACTTTCAGTGGTCCAGCTAGGGGGATATGGTCCATCTCTTTACTCTCCCATGTCCCTCTCCGTACCACACTGTTTCATTTTTGTACTTTGCTGTTTTCTGGCTCACTTGTCCCTCTCACTTTCAAGCTCCAGTGACAAGGTCCTCTTATTTATACAATTATGTTGTTTAGATTTTCATTCTAAAGTACAATTTTCCCTTTATTCTAAAATACAGTTTTCTGATACTGATTCTGTTGTCTGCTTGCACTATATTTACGCTGTGGTTTAGAGAAACTGACAGCTTTTTCAAAGCTGCACATCTACTGTATACCTAAGAGTCTCAAATTCACTATCCCTCAGTCTTTCCCGAATGACTTGGGTGAGTTATTGTGAAACAGTTTCCCTGTAGAGACTCGTCGTGACTAGACTTGACTTTGGGTTTTTCATGGCTTAACCAAGATAATACAGATTCAAGGATGTAGTGCATAACTGTTCACAGAACTAGAGAGAATTACAGAAAAAATTGATTATGCTTGTCAGAGGTCTAAGGACATAAGTTACAGAAGAACCCTTTACTTTCCTTAGTGATGGTAGATACCTCATGTGATAAATGAGATAATGGAAGCTCCTGCCTGTGTAAATGCTTAAATTACAGGTTGTTCACTGGCTCCTCTTCTCCCTCTTAAATATTGATAATTTAGGATGAGTGGTGGGAGTTAGATTTGACCTGAGGTTACATCTAATATAATTAGTCTTTTCAAAAACTGATGGCTAAATAGCTACTGATACTGTATTGCACAGCTCTTACTGTACTATCTATACCATATACCAAGTTAACACATCTTTCCTTTTTAATAGTATGGTGGAGATATTACACGGAAAATGAAGCTTTTGAAGAGGCAAGCAGAAGGAAAGAAAAAGATGAGGAAAATTGGCAATGTGGAAGTGCCAAAAGATGCCTTTATAAGTGTTCTAAAGAGACAATCTGAAAAATAATTGGAGACCAAAACTCTGCAACTCTGATGCTTCTATCTAGCTTTTGCTGGGCAAATGACAGGATGAGGTTAATGTATAACTTATTGCTGGGGGTTTGTTTGTGTTATCTTATCATATTTAATTTTGTACATATGGCTACAGCTATATGGGGAACAAATTTTAATTGGAAGAATGTACTTGAAGTCTACATTTCAGATTTTATTACCATACATTATTTTGTAATGTGTACAATGAAATTCAGCTAGAATGACTGTAGGTGATTATGGAATCCAGTCCCAGGAGGAGCTTGCTTTAAAGCACTGCAGGTGTGGCCAACCCCCAACTTCCTTTTCTAACTCTGCACACAAGAAGTAATAGATGGTGCACTTTAGATCTCAAATTCCTGGAAGTACATTATTTGAAGGTCAGGGTAATATAATTGATTTTTATGTAAGTACAAGGAAAAGGGCACACCAGCTCCACAGTAGTGAAACAAGCTAGACCGTTACTCCACCAGCAAGTGTAAAACAGTCATTTAGGAACTGACAATTAGGAGAGATCATATACCTCAACACAGAGAGTTGGCTTAATATTAGGAGACCTCAAGGCTTCTGAAAACAGCAACTGTAGAAGACTAGGTACTGGGCATTACTGATCCCATGTAATTCCCTTTCCTATCACCTATTTCATGGATACAGGTAAGTGGCAGCACAGAGGGCATACCCCTTATCTAGGTCAGAGTGAAGACATACACCTAATTTATGGCAAGAATGTGAAAGACAAGTATGAGGTGCTTAATTATCTGATGTCTGTTTCAAAAATGGGGGGGGGGGCAGGGAGGAGTTGCATAATTAGTCTTTAGTTTGCTTCTTAGGAAGTAAGGGTAGATGTTTCTAGCTCTGTCTGTAGAGGGAGCTCACCCACATTCAGCAAATGGTATAACATGCCTCACCTTAGTAACATAAGGTTAGGAACAACCTCTAAAACACAGTTTAGAAAACTGTCATGCTTACAGGAATGAAATCCTTAATTCCAGCCTGTTGAAGGGGACATCCTGCTCTGTGGAAGTGTTATAGGACATGACTTGAGCAAAGAGGTTTTACTACAGGTGAGAAGCCAGCTATTCTGTATTAGGCTCCAACTAAACTTGATGCACTCCAGACAAATTGAGGGACAAGTGTCCTTTGAATAGAAAACTTGTTTCATGCAGTGTTTTAAAGTGAACAGATTAGGAGAAGGTTACACATGACCTCCTGTTTTAATCTAAACAATACCAAAAGAGGGGTAGTGTCAAACTTTAATTACAGCTATAAAACAATCATGTTACTATTACTGTGAGAAAGTATTCTCAGCCAGAGGATTGAAATTAATCCTTTTCACAACTTGCTATTTTAGAAAAACTGCATAAACCAGCAGCTGTTTGGCCAGTTTTAATAATCAGTGGTTCTCAAACTTTTGTATTAGTGACCCTCCTTCACCCAGGAAGCCTCTGAGTATGACCCTCTCCCCCCCTCCTTGTAAATTAAAAACACTTTATATTTAACACTGTTATAAATGATGGTGGTGAACCAGGATTTGGGGGTGGAGGCTGACAGCTTGTGACCCCTCACATAACCTTGCAAGCCCCCTAAGGGGTCGTGACCCCCACTTTTGAGAACCCTTGTAGTAGATGAATGCTGCAATAGCAAAAAAACAGAATCTGAAGCATGTAAAATCCTCAGCATGCTCACACACAGTTCAGTGTAGGGTGGACCACCACTTAAATCTTTCTGGAGGTGTTAAAGTAGGATTCTTCAGCCACTCCAGCAAAGTGAGAATTTGAAGTATGAAGTACTTGAGCAGGAAAGATTATTTTTGCATTTAGTTTCTATATAGCAATAGTTAACAAGAGGCTGGTATACTTGATTTGTGTTTGATGTTTTAATAGCAAATTTTACTTAAGTATGTGTTTTAAAGGAGAGAGGCAGAAAAACAGCAGTTTACTGGTCAGTGCCTGTTTAACTATAAATCCACATTTATGGCTAAGGAACATTTTTTTCCCACTGTAGAAAATTACTATTTTGAAAGCCAAGACTATTTAAATATTACAATAGATGAAGAGGAACATACCATCAGATCCAGCCCATCTTTCAGTGGATATTTTAAAAGGGAATTTACTGCTGGCATAAAGGAGCTGGTCTGGCACAATATGTTAGCTTTGCCCATATCTAGAGAAAGGTACACTATCCTTTCACTAATCCTTTGTTTTTGAAACCTGAAATGTTTACTCTGACTACAGTTCACATCAAAAACAAAACAAACATGGTAAGGTTTTTGTGAATTTAAGCTTTACTTAGAGTAACAGTAGAAAAGAGTGGCATTCTTAGTAACAGTTCAACATTTATAGCAATCTACAGTGCAAAGTGGTTCTGTTTACATTCAGACTTGTTTCAATACTAGCCATCTGGATTTTTAGGCATTCTTACTGCCATTAACCTCCCTTTACAATTATTGGATCACAACATCATGTAACTAGGCCATTCATCTCCAAAAAGGAACATATTGAATGTATTCATTATCTAGAGTTCATAATTACCAAAATATAAAATTCCTAAATAAACTTGAAACATGTAACAAAAGTGCTATGGCAGAAGTATAATATGCACATAATTGAATAAGTTATTGTAACTGTTTGAAAGGGTCCTCTATTTTTAGGCAGTTTTCATACTTTTATATGCCTGAGTATTGTACAGTAGGACTTAAACGCCCAGAAGCTATTGGTATAAGATTAATTTAAGGCTACCAAAGTGCAAAAGTTCAATGCGTATTAGATATAAACAGAGCACTTCATAAGCAAAGTTGTGCATCTGTTACAAGTCCATAACGTTTGACATGTGAAAGCCCAAAAGCATTTTGCCTATAGTGAGACAAAAAAATGAGAAGTGTATCTTGTACTGGTGGAGCCGTGGACTTTTGCTTAAGCTAAAGTATAATTTTCTCCCACACAGTCAAACAGTACATTGCTGTGTTAAGAATACACTGCTGTTTATTTCTCATAGTATGTAACTGCCATTTACATTTGCTCTATTCTTGTTTACTTACTGTAGCAGCTAATGAAGTCACATATACAAAATATTAAAACAAATGCACAATACAACAATGTATAGAGATGGAATGTAAATAGAGATACTGGATTTTTTAAAAAATACAGTACTTAAGATTTCCCATTTTAGCCAGTTTTCAGCATATTGCATAGCAGTAAGTTTGTCTGCTACCTAAAAATGGTGTTTACCCACATGGAGTTCCTCAATTCCTTCTTCAGTTTTCTTCTTTCATACTGTACAGTGGGTCCACAAGTTTATTGTGAACATGCATTAAACCTTGGGGGGAAAAAGCAACAGTACCTGTTTTACATTAGTTATCAGCACACATTTCCTATCTACATTGTTTGTTTGCTGTTTTTAACTGCACATAGGTATATACATTAACACATGCATTGAACTAGAGAAAAGCAGAATGGGCACTCAAAAAAAAATTTAAGATCAACTCTATACTGGCACCTAGCTATTAATTCACTTAGGCTGAAGGAGCAACATGTTGTTCCTGTATTATTTGTGGACATTATACCACGACTACATATGAACGAACTGAATAGGGACATGAATGGGAAATGTAACAATTCTGTAATCATCAGATATGCATGCAGGACCATTATTTAAGACTTGTTTCAATTTAATTTCAAGTACACACTGATAAAGACTAACAAAAATAGCTGTGGGTTTATGTCCAAGTTAGAGAGTGCACAATATTGTTGCATGATTCTCTTAATCTATAGTTTTTCACTACCAGAAATTTATACGATACTTTGATATGCTCATAACAGCCTGAAGATGTTTATGACTACACCTTATGGTATCAAACTCTCAGAACAAAGACCAATTATCTGAAAGGTCAAGAATATACAAATAGAACATATTTACATACATATGAAATGGTCAATTAACTTGCTACAGAAACAGTAATATGTATTTCCTTTAATGTTCAAGTATGCAACCTTTTATCATGGATTACTTTGAAAAGGAATCATATCGAAGAACCTGCTTAGGCACACTCTGCTCATTTAATGTCATTCAAGGTCATCAATTCATTTAATGTCAAAGTGCAATTCTTACTAATTTTCACTCATGTTAACACTTTGGCACTGATACAATTAGGAAATCGAGCTAAAGATCCAGTTCCATTTTGTGGCTGATCAAGAGAATTGTTTACTAAACTTCAGTCAGTTCTTTCTGTGTAAACCTAATGAAGGCAATATATGATTATACACATTCTCCTAAACACATTATCTGAGGACAGTGGACTTGCTCAGGATTAACGAAGCATATATTACTTATTCTGAAGAATCTTTATTACTAGTGCTGATGTGAGAGGTGGAAAAAGCCAAGCCCAGAGCCAAGGCTATAGTTGTAGGGCTAGCAGTTAAAAAAAAAGTAAGTAGGAATATGTTAACTGAATGCGTTTGATACAAAAGATGGTTGATACACAGAGAAACCCACAGTGACACTTAAGCAACTCTTAGAACATGAGAGCTGTCACATTGAGTCAGACTAATGGTTTATCTAGCCCTATATCCTGTCTTCCCACAGTGACCAATGCCAGGTGCTTCAGAGGGAATGAACAGAACAGGCAATCACTGAGTGTTCCATCCTGTCATCCACTCCCAGCTTCTGGCATAGGCTAGGGACACTCACCGCATGGTGTTCCATCCTGGCTAATAGTCATTTATGGACCATGAACTTATCTAGTTCTTTCTTTGAATGCAGCTATAAGTTTTAGCCTTCATGGTATCTCCGGCAACAAGTTCTCTGTGTGTTGTTCTTCTTCAGAGTGGAGCCATACTTTAAATTTGCATCTACACTTTTTGCATTTGATTGCCTGGTTCTCTTTTTGAAAAAAGGGGAGAGGGAGCATATGCCCCAATTTGTGTTTCCCAAAGGAACAAATAGTATTTTTAGATAAGTACTGCACTGCTGCTTTTATGAAGCATATTTAATTTTCCCATTAGTAGATGTGCATTTCAGGGAGAGCACGTTTAGAGGCACGAGTCTGATATTTACAAGCTCTACATATTAGAGGAGAGCAGAGTGAAGATCCATTCTCCACAAGGGCAGCAGAGTTTAGCATCAGGATCACCCTCCCAAGAGGTACCAGCTGGGGACCCACTTCCTGGTTCCAGATTTCACGTTTCCTAGGTTTTACAAGCCCCAGTCCATTCTGGGGCAAAAAGCCCAAGGTACTTGAAACAGCTGATCCAAATGATTATGCATTTAAAACATTACCTGGAGGAGGAGAAGAGGCTTAAATTACTGGATGGCTTGGATAAGGGCCAAGTGAACTGAGAGCAATTGGACTGTCCACTTTCCTGTTAACCTCTGTTGGAAACTATACACTTCCTGAGTTGTGCAGGCAACCAGAGTCCTTCTTTCCTAAAGTGTGTATCCTACAGATTCAGAAGTTTTCTGTGTGTACACATTTTAAAAGTGCTCTTAAAAGTTTAAGAACTTAAAGCATTCACTCCGCTCCTATGAGGATTATTTATATGCCAATGTTCAGAGTTCAACTGATTTTGCTGTAACCAGATTAAGAGTCTGGTTATTTGTTTTGGGCATACATTAAGTTTTTGCATTCTACAACAAAAGCAGATGAAAAGTTCACCTTCCCCCCACCCATGTACTTTCTAAAAAACATTGTTAGACATCAAGTATGGAAGACTGCAACCCAAAAACTTGAGGTTTTTGGAAAGTTATGAATGAGTGAAAAGAGGACGAGGGGCTACAATTAGAACTAGCTGCTCCAGTTACTATTGACTTCTCTCTATAAACCATAATGCAGATGTTACTGTGCTATAGTTTGAGGTATAGTACCACATATCTGAAATTTTACAAAAATGACTCAAAGTTTTGGAGATGGTGAGAGGGTGGTAGGTAAGTGAAACAAATAGGATAGGCATTTTTGAAACATATCTATTGAGGCCCCGAAAAGAGTTAATCAGAGGACCAGGATTAAGAAACTCCTAATTACTAATCCTGGCTGACATTGCCTTTCCTCTGTGGCCTAAAGTGAGAAAACCGTCTGTCTCCCCATGTATAAGTTGAGGTTGTAAGTTTAAAATGATTAACAATATTTCTAAAAATTACATACACAAAGAAGCAGTACATTATAGTGTAACTGATCAGAGTAATTAAGAAAGTATGAACACCTATTCATACACACAATGTATGTATCTATATGTGTGTGTATGTATGTATCTATATATATGTGAGAGCGGTATTCCCATTAATGTCGTAAGTCTAATTATATGTTACTAAGTTAAGTGACAAGATTATTAATCAAGAGCTATGTGAACTAGTGCATTGAGTCAAAGGAAGCAGTTTTAGTATTCAGTATGTCCAGGCAATCTTGACTAGAATTCTAGATTACAAAGACTAATGATAAAAACTACCTTCAATAGAAGTTCAACACTGATAAACACTAAATTTACTTTTTCAACGAACAGCCAAAATATACACATAACAGAGTAATGAGATACTCATAATTTAAGTCAAGAAGTGAGCTACCAATGATATTGTGGTAAAAAGAAAACCCAGTGGCTTGTGGAAATCCCAAAATGTGGCCTTTCTTAAGTTGACAGTGTCCATTGAATTGTGCGTTTAGAAGAAAAAAATACTTTCAATTAAAGTTAAAAAGCCAGCAGCCCAGATCTCATGGACACCTCAAAATAGTAAGTGTTCATGCCCTGGAGAGAAAGAGGTTCAAAAAATAAACAAACTTCAATTTCTATCTACCGTAACATTAAGACTGGGAAAATGATTACACGAATTTCTTATCCTCAACATCCATAGCCTAATTAGTAAGAGAACAATAAAACAAACCTGATTGCTGTGAAACAACTTTGTTATAAGCAGCAATTTATGTAAGTATAATTTTAAAAAGGCACTCATTGAAAGTGCATTAAGGATCAAACAAACAAGGTAGTGCAATTAGTGCTCAGAAAACCGCTTTATGCTAAATATACTTGATCTAATTATTGACATATAAAGCCAACATAGGAATCTCACTAGATTACATAGTGCAGATTTAGTTATAGAAAACACATAGTAGGCAAAATGTCTTCACAAATGATTTCGAAGGCTTGAATAAAACATTTGGGCCTTAGCAACTTCAAAATTCTGGTTTACTGAACAAATGCACAACAAATAAGTCAAAAATGGAAATATACAGCAAACCATAGCAGAAGCAGCAGCTTGAAATGATTTGGGATTAATCTCCATTATTTATCAACATTTTCTATAACCTGAATTTCACTTTGCAGTGTTTCTGAAATCAACAAAGTACAGCAAAAAGCTATGTCCTGTAAAGTCAGGTCTCCAAGATGCTGCTGTTGACGCACATGGCTAATATATTAAATTGCAAGTAGCAAAGGATATAGATTACATCAAAGAAAGTTTACATGAGGGACATATTAAAGAAGGATTCTGTACTTTGCTTCTTGCATGAAAGGAATGCAGCTAAGCTGCTTAGCCACTGTATTACAGACGCTCTTTGTTAGTCTCTAAGGTGCCACAAGCCCTCCTTTTCTTTTTGCGGATACGGACTAACACGGCTGCTACTCTGATCCCCGACTTACGCAACTGTTCCGTTCTGGAAAGCCTTGCGTAACTCAAATTTTGCGTAAGTCAGAAATGTATACCCGAACGTTAAGCAAAAAAACCCACAAAAAAAAACAAAAAACAAAACACCCCTTCCTATTTCTAGCTTACGGAACTTTTTCCGTAAGTGCGAATTTGTGTAAGTTGGGTCTTGTGTAACCCGGGAAGCGTCTGTATATTATATTCAAATACAGAGTTCAGCATTTCATATTTGAATATGGCAACTATTTTCAATTGTACATGGTGTACTTGGAGACTAGAATTTAACCCCCAGTCATTTTTAACTTATTAGTCACACAAGAACCTATTCTGTTTCAATTCAGTGCTCACCTTTGAAGTATTTCACAGTTTTAACTCTTAGTTCTAAAGTAGCATCTTCATCACATACGAAGATCGTGCGGGGGTGCTGCTGGAAAGCAGAAACTGTCCACATATGATTGACCCCTTCTTCAATTGCCTTGTACAAAGCAAAAGCTTTATGGGCACCTGTTATGAGAATCATAACCTGGAAGATGAACACAAAAAACAACAACAACACACACACACAAAAGAGAGTGAGTTTTCCATTTACCTTAAATTCCCGAATCAGTTTTTCATTACTAGTTAAATAATGGAAACCTACAATATTTAAACATCTTAAGATGAACAGTTCTTTAACTTATACTCTACTGAAAACCTACCACTTTTCAGAGAAAAATATACCTGCATATTATAACGTGCCCATCATCAAATCTAATATCCAAGCACTAACATGTTCCCACTTGACTCCACATTATGAGATGTCAGCCAAAAAAAGGTGATACCTAACGGTCAAAAACTGCCAGAAGTACCTCACTCAAGATGACACATCTACACGTACAGATATCATTCAATGCAATTACCTAGAGTATTCATTATTATTATTACTACTACTGTAGTGCTTAGTGAAAGTCAGAAAGTATGCCAGAAAACCCCTTTGGTTTAGACTTTCATGCAACAGCCCCTAACTATACAGTTACTAAAGGTGACCAGTAAAAGCTAAGATATCAAGTTCTAGTAACTCTACCAGTAATGTACTTATTGTCTCAGTAAGCCAGGCCAAGAAGACATTCAGAACATTACCTGACAACACTTATTTCACAGTTCCATAGATGGCTGTACAAGTCTTCCTTATAATAAAAATCTTACAGTATTTTTATATAAAATAAAACCAGATGTGGCTTTTAAAAAAAATACAGAAACTATACACAGGATTAGCTTAGCCATCACTGAAATAGCCACCTCTGGGAAGAAACAGTAACAGCTGCACAGGAAACCTAAGCAGGAGTTTCAGAGTGGTTAATTCTATAATTCCCTATTAAAATTACAGGGTGAATTTAGGTTGACAATATGAATGAGAATAGGGCCAAGACACTTCGATTTTTTTTTTTGTAAATGAAGAATTCTACAGGTTCTATAGTCATTATAAGTGATCAGGATCTCTCTTTTAAATCTCATCTGAAAGAGGTCTCCAAAAGCACAGTGGTCTGTACAGGTAAATTTGACTAGTTATACTGGTATAACTTCAATCTGTATAACTGTCATGTTGACCCACTTATTCTGCTGTAAGTGTGGTACTCTTTAGTAGAGACCAAGCCTCTATTAAAGCAACATAAGCTAAACTGAAAAAAATCCCAGAATACCATAATATGTCACGGGGTGATGCCAGTACAATTATATTGGTTTAAATTCACCCTGAGATAACACAGAAAACACTTTCCCCATGTATGCAAATCAATGCTGGGGAACTAGTTCAGAAATGGTTTGGAAGAGCAGAGTATTATTGGTGTTAACATTTAAAAAGTCTGAAAAACCAGGCACTGTTAAAAAGGATCCTTTACTCCCTATGGGCCTTCTCAATGGAGCACCTAAATGCTTAGACTGATATGTTGCCATGTTTACGTTATAAGGAATGAACATGTCACCATTAAGAAATGTATCTATTCATAGCATTCTAAAGAAGCCACAAAAACTTGTAATAATTGCTTACTACCAGATGCCCAGTTTAAGTAAACCTCTAATTAATAAATAAAAACTTATTGAAATCTAGTTGCAGATTCAGTAATATACTGTTAACTGGTGATTTATTCATTTCAAGATCCTTCGCATTAGCTCTAATATGATTTCAAATGACAAAAAGTAACATTGCATGTAATTTTACTGATGCAGCTTTGTCATAGCATTCTGAATACAGACACATGCAAATTAAACTAACAATGAGTTCTTACTTCTCTAGCATCCATCACTGTACCAACACCAACAGTTAGTGCCATAGTTGGCACTTTAGATAAGTCTCCATCAAAGTATTTAGCATTTGCCAAAATGGTGTCCATTGCTAAAGTCTTTAACCTTGTTCTTGAAGCCAAACTTGATCCTGGTTCATTGAAAGCAATGTGGCCATCTGGACCAATGCCTTAACAAGACCAAAAAAAAAAAAAAAAAGTCAGTGATCCAGGGTTCCTGATAAGGCTACAAATATTGTAAGAAAAGATTCATGGTAGAGTTTCCTTACTTATTAATAAAAAAATAAGGCAAGAGTCAAAGCTAGTGTGCTATTAAATTAGTTATTAAAATTTGGACACTAACACTTCTATAATTTCTGGTTCAAACTGATTCTCCATGTTAGTAGTAGAAGCCTCCCTTTCTTAAACTGTCTGCGTCAAAATGAAATGCATTTGTAGATACGTTTTGGAAGTGATGACATAAAGGGATTCAATACATGTATTAAAACTATGACTAGCGATCACTGCTAGAGTGTTTTCTCATACCTCCAACGAACAGATCAATTCCCCCAGCTTCTTCAATTTTTTTTTCAAATGCATCACACTCTGCCTGTAGGTCTGGAGCATTCCCATCAAGGATGTGAGCATTATTAGGATCTATGTCAATATGCTTAAAGAATTTATTCCACATATAAGAATGGTAACTCTCTGGATGATTTCTTGGAAGCCCTGGAAACATTTAAAACGAAATGTAAATGGATTTTACTCAAATTAAACTTCCAGATTTACATTAAAACATATGCTGGGCAAGAAATATGCAGTGAATTTCTTAAATTCTGTCTCACCAGATCAAATAAACTGAAGCATTTTATAGACTGGCTATGATTCTCCATTTCCAGGCACCTTATGTATGTATACACTCACTTTGCACAGACATGCATGACTATACAAAATATAAAACACAGGAAATTTTGGCCCAATAATCTGTTCCTAAGTACCTTTAATAAGGAAGTTTCAAACACTTCACAAACATTGAATTAGCCTCAATGTCCACTTCAGTTGGGTAAGTATTATTCTGATTTTGCAGATGAAGACATTGAGCAGCAGGAGGTTAAAGAAACTTGTGTAGAATTACACAAAACTTGCAGCAGAGGCATGAATCTCACAACTCTCAGTCCTATGCTTTATTCAAAACACAAGAATCTGATTTATAGTTTTAATGCAGAAAAAAATTATTTGAATAGGTAGTATTTCTTAACATGAGAGAGATAAAACTTACCTACATATTCATCCATATTGAAAGTCTTTACATATTTAAAAGAAAGATCTCCATTCTTGTGATATTCTATCAGTTTTTTGTAGCATCCCAAAGGTGTGCTCCCTGCATAAAATAAGATTATTCTAATGTTTTGTATGCCAGTAAGACATTTTTAGATGAATTTGCAAAGCTATAAAGGATAAACTCTTTATAAGTCAATTCCGCTACCACGTTAGTCTGTAAACGCAGTGTCAATTCCATATTTAAAGTTGTGATAAACCTTATCCTTCTCCCCAGGGGGAAAAACTCAGTGAGTTTTTTCCACTTTTCTAAACTATGACCCACTGAAATATTTACAAGAACATAACATTTAAAGTTTGAATTAGGCATGTTTGAACTTTTATATAATTATGTACCTATCTAATTTCTAAGACACCTATTGCTCTGGTTAACCAGGCACCAAACATTTCTGTAGCTACTGAATTACATGAGTTTACAACAAAAAAAAGTATTACCTGTTGGTAAACCAAGCGTAAAATACCTTCCCTGGCTTGGTTTGAATTGGATAATACGATTACAAATGTACTTTGCTGCCCATTCACTTGCCAAATCATAGTCATCAAGAATTACCAGTCTCATTCTGAAGGTGAACCGCTTACAGGAAAAAATGAGGTTAAACCTGTGAAAAACGTTGAAAACAATTCTTTTTAAAGTCTCATAACATGAAAAATAGAACAAAAATTTAGGTAGGTTTAGTTTACCCTTAGATGTTATTTTAAAAGACTGCGCAGATCTAAAAATCAAGCTTCAAATTTCTAGAATATAATTCAGGGTGGACAAAAAGCATGTTTTTTATGCACTCAGTCAATAACTTTAGAGGGGATTTCAAGTCATCTGTCTTCCCTCAGGTTCCAGTTGGACAACAAATTGCAACATTTGCATCACTGAAAAGGCTACAGAAGATCAGGAAACAAAACTTGATCAGTAAACATAACCTATTGGTCCATTAATTAAAAAAACCTACTCCACAGGGCAAAACTGTGAAAGAGTAAGAGAATGAGGGGATAGACCTTTTGAAACACAGTACTCTAGATCCCAAAGTTTTAAAGACTTACACTTTGATCTTGCAAACACTTACACACAGTTTTATGAATGAATACTTCCACTGAACTCAAATGAGTTCAAGGGGACAACTCACACAAATAAATGCTTGCAGGATTAGAGACTTAATCTGTCCCTCACTGGAAAATGGGGGCCTGGTCAGTTGCTTGTTTTATGATTATCTGAGAAAGCAAAAAAAATCAAGAGTTGCATAGCGTTGTCAGTACAAGGTGAGCTACCTTACCTTTGTTAAGTAATCTTTACAAAGGATTTTTTTTTTAGAACTTCTTGTTATTCCATAACTGGTTGAATTTGAGTGCCTGAAGTTAACTAAGAAGTGACATGCGCTACCTCTCTGTTTCTAGTTCCCCATCAATGACAGGAAGTGGAAACAAAAGACTGGCAGGTTTAATCATAATTATATCATTAAGGTCCAATAGCACATGACCTGCTAAAGTAGAGGTGGGATAACTACGGCCCGTGGGACTGTCCTGCCCAGCCCTTGAGCTCCCAGCTGCGGAGGCCAGCCTCCCTCCCCGACAGCCTCAGCTCGCCATGCCGCCAGTCTTCTGAGCAGCGGGGCTGCGAGCTCCTGCCGCGCAGCTCGGCGGCATGGCTGGGCAGTGTGGCTGCCAGCCCTGGTTCTCTGAGCAGCATGGTAAGGGGGTGGGGAGGTTGGATAAGGGGCAGGGAATCCTGGGGGGCAGTAAGGGGACGGGGGGCAGTCGGATAGCCGTGGGAGTCCCGGGGGGGCCTGTCAGGGGATGGGGGTGTGGAGTGGGGTCGGGGCAGTCAGGGGACAGGGGGTGGTTGGATAGGCATGGGAGTCCCGGGGGACCTGTCAGGGGGTGGGGGGTTTGGATAGGGGTCAGGGCAGTCAGAGGACAGGGAGCGGGGGGGGGTTGGATAGGGGTGAGGTCTCAATGGAGGGTGGTTAAGGGCGGGGGGGAGCAGGCGGGGTTGGATGGGTCGGGGGTTCTGAGGAGGGCAGTCAGGGGGCGGGAAGTGAGAGGAGGAGGATAGGGGGAAGGGGCCAGGCTGTTTGGGGAGGCACAGCCTTCCCTACCCAGCCCTTCATACAGTTTCGGAACCCCGATGTGGCCCTCAGGCCAAAAAGTTTGCCCACCTGTGCTAAAGCTTAGAAGAAGACAACATGATTTAATTGCACCTATAACACTCCTGAGTAAGCAACAGTTCCTTATATCAGTTAAGGACAAATGCCCTCCAGGCATAGTGGCTGAGTGGCTATGGCGCTGAAAGTTGTGGGTTCGAGTCTTGCTCACTCTCACACTGAAAGGCCACCTCCAGTTCACTCTACTGTAAAATGGGTACCTGACCCCAGGTTAGGGCAGTCAAAGATGGTCAGACATGATGCTAGCCATATCACTTGTACAGTTGGCTACGACACTGATGTGCCTTAACTGTGTCAGGCCACTGCGCCATGTGCTCGGGGGAATTCTGATTACCACCAAAGGAAATTATACACTACTTGCATTCACTTAACAGTCAGGCTGTGAGATGTCAGAGGTAGTACAGAATGTACCGAAGACCTTGTATACTAATTTCTTCTACGGAAGAAAAAAAAAAGAAAACCTTTGGAAAAGCTTCTACAGATGCATTACCTAGAAGTTCTATAGAGCTTTAGCAAACCATTCTGGTACCCAAATTCAAGACAGATTAATTCAAACTGACACAGGTACAGAGAAGGGCTACTAAGGAAAATCAGGGGATTGGAGGACCTATCTTCTGAAGACAGCCAAAAGAGCTTGGGCTTTTCAGCAAAAAACAAAGGCTGAGAGGGGATATGATTACAGTCTATAAATACAACAGGGAGGGAGAAGAGATATTTAACAGAAATGTTGGCACAAGAAAAATACATATAAACTGCGAGGTTCTGGAAAAGCACCTTAACGATGGGGGCACAAACAACTTAGCTAGTTGTAAAATGGAGCTTGATTCATTTATGAATGGGATTATATAACAGGGTTGCCTATGAGAGCAAGGGACTGGACTCAAAGACCCAAGAGGCCCCTTCCAATCACATATCCCTAAACCAGGAACTACCACTATTGATCTCTGTAGACTATATCACACTAGAAATGGGGAACAGAAAATGAAATAGTTCAAGTAACATAGGTAGGTAGCCATGCTATTTCTTTTTAAGTTTTATACTATCAATGAATAGCACAGATAGATTAGTAGGAAGAAATGTTTATGAAGAAACATTTATGCTCACACCATCAATTCCCTCCAGCCATTCATTCGTACTCACAAAAACATACATAGCTTGTGACAATGAGGTACCAAAACTTCTTATTAAATTCACTTAGTCCATTAGTCAGTCCTGTTTGCACCAAACCCAGAGATGGCTGAAGAAACACATATGCAGAAAGTTAACCCCTCCTTCAATATAAAACTCAAGAAGGTTTAAGAACTTTGTGGAGCAGGAACCATGGTTGGCAAACCAGAGTAATATGCAGACACACCTGGCAATATGGAATCTTTCAGGGTGGATTGATTTAAATCAGCACTTTAAATAAAGCGGAAAGCCTCCATTTAAAAACAAAAAAAATCCTTTTCCGTTTGTATATCAGTTACTTTCTAATGAAAGGTGCATTCGCACTGGTTGATATAAGCATCAAAATATGTTGATTTAAAACTAAATAAAACCTTTACACTAATTTCATAAATCTTTTTGTTACCTCAGAGGATATACTATAACTATATACATTTAAGCAATTATATAGCTTAATATTTGCAGATTCTGTACATTTTTAGTGTTAGAAAGTGGTGAATGATGTATTTTTTTTTACTAGATAATTAACTTTATGCTCATGACGTGTGTCAAGCTGCATTAGGATGGTAATTAGAATTAATTAAACCCACATCATATAAAATTTATTTTTATTAAACAAAACTACCTTATATTTTGGATACATAAACTTCTCTTATCAAAACATGTTTCACATTTACAACTAAATAATTTATTAAAGGAACAGAGGGATTAACTATAGACAGGACTGGCTTTAGGGAAAATGGGACCTGTGCAAACTTGTATTTTGGTGCCTCTGACACCAGCATTCACTTAACAGTCAGGCTGTGAGATGTAGAGATAGTACAGAATGTACCCATCACCCCTGCTCCTTCCCCGGGTTCTTTCCCCGCCCCATCATCCTCAGGCCCCGCTGCCTCCCCAAGCTCCATTCTAGTCTCGCACCACAGGCCCACCCCACTCCTTGCCTGTTGACCACGACACCTGGGCAGTCACCCGCCCACAAGGCCAGTCTTGGCTGTAGACTGTATATTAAACAGATTTCATGTCAGCCTCGGAAATTTTTCAAATATGCTTAAATGTCAGTGATTTTCAACCTTTTTTCATTTATAAACCCCTAAAAAATTTTGAATGGAGATGCTGAACTCTTTGGAAATCTTAGACACAGTCTGCAAACCCCAAGGGGTTTGAAAACCACTGGCCTAATTGAAAGTTACTTAAGCTTAAGTTCCTAGACACCTAAGTCTCTTGAAAATGAAACAGTATCCTAAGTTGCTTAGGCTGTCCATCAAACTTTTAAAACTAGTAGATCTCGTCCCCTCCCTCCTTGTTTTTATTCATAGACTGGAAGAGAAAGACATGACTCCCTGCTTTTTCAAATTCCCAATTGATTTTTCAACTTAAAATACTTTATTTGGACTAAATAATTCATTCTGTACCTGCAGAAGAGGTTACTGCTGTCAAAAGCTGATTTAGCACTTCCACAAATTCTGCTTTTGCACTGTAGTATTTTGTTTGTGTAGAGAGAGAGATGTAGTTGAGAAATTAGTGAATTTCTGTTTGTATTGCTGTGTATGTATGCAAGGAGACAGAGGAGGGCCATTTACTTGAATGCCCAGAACCATCCAAAAGCAAGGGCTAGCAGTTACCGGGAAAATAAGTGTTCTTCCATGAGCAGGAAAGTTTTCATGATGGGTGGAATTATAAATACTCATAATTTGAGAATTCAGTCAGAGCTCAGGTAGTGAGAAGCTATAAATAGGAGTATGAAACCACTAAGGCGAGCTCAATGAATGGTCATCATGAGATACATGATGGTCTCTAGAGTCACAGACCAGGTTCCAATGCCTGTGATGCCTTTGCCAGTCTCTTGAACCCAGTAGCACAGTTCCTGAGTCCCCTACAGGATCAAGCCCTTAATGCAACACTTAATGCCCTTAATGACCTACTGTGCCATATTTATGAAGCTTGACCTCAAAAGAAATGGTTCCCCCCTCACTCTTCCTTTATACAGACAGGAAGCCTTTAACAATAAGTGTTTGATAGAAACTCATGGATTCAGCATAGGTTTTTTTTTTATTTAAGTGTTTTAAGAGGTCATAAGAAGTTTAGGCCTTAACATATTTTACATTAAATTCAGATTTTGTTTTAATCAGATTTTTAACAAGAAAAACATATTGTTATTTAAACAATAAAAAAATGATTTAAATGTTAAAAGTCTATTCCCCCTGCCCCCCCAAAATATCAGTTTTTACCCACCCTGGAATCTTTAGTCTTAAAGAAAAGAACATTGCCTCATTCAGCAACCTAATCTGGGTACCTAGGCCTGTACCCCAATGACACCACAGCCCCACACCCCAACTACAGCCCCGCCCAATAGCCCCCATTACCCAGCTACACCCACACTTCCCTCGGTCCCAGACCAAAACCTCCGTACCCCCGTGACCCACCACAGCCCCCCTCCGACCAAAATTACCGCCCTGACCCACCACAACCGCCCCCCCCATGCCCCTGGTACACCTCCCAATACCCCTTGCGTTACCCGCCCCAGCACCGCTCGATTTCAGACTGACCCCTCCTCCTTCTCGTCTCCCCCCACAGCCCCAGCCACCTCCTGCTTCCCCTCTGACCCCATCACCCCTCCCAGCGCCGGCCGGCCCACGGCCCAGCCACGGGGGCAGCACTCACGGGGAGCAGGAACCCCGCCACCAGGGTGACCAGACAGGGCCCCCGGCGGGCGAGCAGAGCCAGGACCGCGCTGCTCCCGGGGACAGAACTAACCGAGCTGAGAACGAAACCGACCCGACCTCAGTTCAAGCTGAAGCGGGAGTGACCCGGAAGCAGCTGTGAAGGACCGGAAGTGACGAAAGAGCGAGAGCGAGCGAGAGAGGAGCAACGCGCATGCGCTGGAGTGACTATATCTGCGGTGGCTCGCGCTCAGGCAAGCCCTTGGGTTGAGTAGAGCGCGGGAGCGTGGTGGTTGTAGGGCGTGTGCGGGTGGGCGGGGCAGATGTCGGCTGGGTTCTTGTAGGCGCAGCGCAGGGGCTGTGGGGACGGGGGCTCGGCGGTAGCGGCTACCCAGTACCGAATGCTCCCTGCCGCGGGGCGCGGCTCACGGAGGGGAGGAGGCCGGGTCCTTGTATGTGAGATCGGGACGGACAACGGCTGTGTTCTGGGGCAAGGCCTAGGCCGTAGGAAAAATCCTCCCAAATAAGCCCCTGCCAGAGGCGCGCGCGGCTTGGGGAAGGGGACATGGCTGGGCGGTTGCAGGCATAAGCTAGGGGTGCAGGGCAACAGACACAGGTTTAGCTATTTGCGGTGTTGGGGTCGGCCTGTTGGCCCCAGGGTATTTGACAAGGGGGGTAAGGTAATATCTTGTATTGGACTAATTTATGTTGGTAAGTTAGACAGGCTTTCAAGATACGTAGAACTCTTCAATCACTGATAAAAGACAAAAGCAACATATCCTCCTTGGGTGAAGAGTTTTCACAGAATGATCACTGTATCTCCTCATGCTGCCTTCATCATCAAATGAAACCTGCACAGCGCTTCAAAAGATGATATTGGGGGCATAAATTCACCATTAAATACTAAAAATCATGAATTTAAGAGATTGGGTTTATGGCTCATTACTCATTAACAATCTGACACGCACTAATCCTCCTTTGCGTTTTGACTGCAGACTTGTTAACTATCCACTTCACCTTGAATGATCTTTTACAACACGTTAGCGCCTTGTGGTCTTTTCCACCTTGCCGTTAGGGGAGAGGGTCTGAATGCCTTTCCCAGACCTGAAGAGGTCTGTTAGCTCAAAAGCTTGTCTCTTTCACAACCAGAAGTTGGTCCAATAAAAGATACTGTCTCATCCACCTTGTTTCATTCATTTAGAAGATACATGTCAAACATCTTTTTGAAAATATAAACTGTAATTCATAATACTCTACAACAGGGGTCTCCAAACTTTGAGACAAGGGCCATATTAGATTTTGGGCCGAAGCGACTGAAAAAATTAAATATATGCAATATCGTTTAAAAAAATACTTTAGGATTAGTGAGAAGTATGATACTGATGTTTTTCTGACAAAATTGCATTTAGCTGTGGTTCAAAGTTAGTGTACCCTATCATCAAAATTGATTGTACATATTCATCAGACAAGCTCGAGCTGTAGTTGGATTTCACATATTTCATCATTGAAAATGTTTTTTCACATACATAAGTAGTGCCAAACACTGACATTAATCCACAGACAAAATTTTTTACATGAGCATATTGATCACTTGGCAGGCATTTATAGAACTCTACCAGATTTCCTTCCTTATATTTGTCCTTCAACAAGTCATTGGATTGTAGGTCAATCACTTCCATTTGAAGTTCAGGTGGCAGTTTTTTGAGATTGCAATCAAATGGGTTTTGGAAGATCTGTATTTCTCCTGCATTCACATCAAGGTCAGAGAAAAGCTCCTGGAACTGTAGTTTCAGATCAGAAATGATTTCTTGTGCAAACTTAGCTGGGAATCATGATTGAGTTTCCTGGTTGAACTTTTCACAACATGTAAAATGAGCAAAGCAGTCCCTCATCAGTTGGGACTCGAAAAGAACTAGTTTTTGCCTGAATGCTGTCACCTGGGTGTACATGTCATAGATAGGCCCGTTTTCCCCTTGTAGTCTAAGATTGAAGTCATTCATGTGCTTGGTCAAGTCTACGAAAAAAGCTAATTTCCAAAGCCATTCACTGTTTGTGAGTAAAGGTAGAAGTCCGTTTTTTTATTTAAGAACATTTCAATTTCAGTTCTAAATTCGAAAAATCGCAAGAAAACCTTTCCACAGCTAAGCCATCGAACTGAAGTGTGGTAGGGCAAATCATGATATTCTGATTCTATTTCCACCAGAAATGCTTGGAACTGACAATGGTTAAGTCCGTGTGAGTGAATGAAATTCACGGTTGAAACTATGGGTTCCATAACGCATGACAAATCCAAATGTTTCCTGCACAATGCTTGCTGATGAAGAATGCAATGAAGAATCATAGGCTTGGCACAGCCCGCACTTTCACAAGCTTTGTAGATTTGTCCAACCAAACCTTTTTTTGAACCGCACATGTTTCTACCTCCATCGGTTGTAACGCACTTCAGTTGTTTTCATTGCAGGTTGTATTGAGAGAGTGACTTTTCAACTTCTTTGAAAATCTCTTCACCTGTGGTTGTTCCAGGCATACTATGCACAGAAGCTAGTTCTTCCGTAACTTCAAAACTACTGCTGAGCCCGCGAATAAACAACAGCAACTGCGAAGTATCGGAAACATTGGTTGACTCGTCAAGTGCTAGGGAAAACCACTCAAACTTCTTAGCCTTTTCATTCAGCTGGAAGATTATATTACTGACAATGTCCTCGATTCTGCGAGCACCTGTGTTCGCCGAAAGACTAATTGTCTTAAATAAATCTACTTTTTCTGGGCATATTCATATTTGGATGCTTGAATCATACATATTTTAACTAGCTCGCCATTAGTAAATGATTTTCCTCGTTTTGCTAATAGGTGTGCCACTTGGAACCTGGCTCTTGTTGCAGCTTCATTCTCGGTTTTCTTCTTAAATATAAACTAGTGACAATAAAGCACGTGTCATGGATTCTAATTTATCTGAACGTAGCTTTCCCCTAAATTGAGAGTAGTTTGACAAGTGCTTGGTTTCATAATGTCTATGAATGTTGTATTCTTTTAGCACTGCGATAGTTTCATTACATATTAAACACAATACTTTACTACCTGATTCGATAACGAAATAGTCCATACTCCATTGTTCTTTAAACATGCAACATTCAGAATCAACCGTATTCTTCTGTCCTTTTCCCGACATAATTGCCCCAATAGCAATGGACTTAAACACAACGAATATACGTTTGTCACTAGTCTGACATGCGCTAAGACAAAAACCGAGGGAAACACCGACGACTCATCACACATCCAGTTCCTTCTGCCACTACTAACCTACCTACTCAGTGTTCATCAGCTCTGCGACCCTGGCAGGAATGCAGTGACATCCTGAAGTTCCACCGCCGCTCTGGGGTTTCCACTGCTGGCCCCTTGCCAGCAGGGGTCCCGCTGCTGGCCCCACCCAGTGCCCGCTGCTGGCCTGGGTGAAGAAACCCAGGCTGGCAGCAGACTGAGACCCCGGCTGGCAGGAGGCCGTGGCGGGAATCCCAGGGGTCCCGCTGCCTGATGCAGTGTTGGTTGGGTGGGGGTCAGACAACTCGAAGCCCACGGGCCGTAGTTTGGAGACCCCTGCTCCACAGCATGAGTATAATTTTGCAGTTCTGATCTCAAAAATGATAGCAAAATACTTCTACACATTAAACTAGACTGGGGATATCAACAAGCAGTCTGTTACCTTAGGTTAGAATTTTAGATACCATTACCAGCACAACTGACAAGTGTAGTTTCATACCTGTGCATGCAATTTGTTGTGCACTCCTGACTTCTGCAACATACTTGCTACTAGATGCACATTAACAGGATGCAGCTTTGTGCCAACCATACAGAGTCTGCAGGGGCCAGGAGATCTTTCTTCTGTCTGGGGAGTTTAAATATTTCCTCTATTGGGGAGATTCCAGAAAGTGTGTTTCTCCCTCTGAGGATGGCAGCATGAGCTAAGAGGATTCAGAGCTGTCAAAAGAAGTTGAATCTGCTTGTGCAGCACAGTCAAAGAGAAGAAGATAGTTGATGTGTGGCACCAGTTTGCACAATGGCTATTGTGGATCTGGAGACTTCATTTGGGCTGTATATATGGAAAATCCCCATTTGCTGAGCATAGCAGATGGTTGGTCTATAATGTGCAGATACTTTGTCATAAATATAAAGGGAAGGGTAAACCCCTTTAAAATCCCTCCTGGCCAGAGGAAAAATCCTCTCACCTGTAAAGGGTTAAGAAGCTAAAGGTAACCTCGTTGGCACCTGACCAAAATGACCAATGAGGAGACAAGATACTTTCAAAAGCTGGGAGGAGGGAGAGAAACAAAGGGTCTGTGTCTGTCGGTATGCTGCTTTTGCCGGGGATAGACCAGGAGTGGAGTCTTAGAACTTTTAGTAAGTAATCTAGCTAGGTATGTGTTAGATTATGATTTCTTTAAATGGCTAAGAAAAGAATTGGGCTGAATAGAATGACTATTTCTGTCTGTGTGTCTTTTTTGTAACTTAAGGTTTTGCCTAGAAGGATTCTCTATGTTTTGAATCTAATTACCCTGTAAGGTATCTACCATCCTGATTTTACAGAGGTGATTCCTTTACCTGTATTTACTTCTATTTCTATTAAAAGTCTTCTTGTAAGAAAACTGAATGCTTTTTCATTGTTCTCAGATCCAAGGGTTTGGGTCTGTGGTCACCTATGCAAATTGGCGAGGATTTTTACCAAACCTTTCCCAGGAAGTGGGGTGCAAGGGCTGGGAGGATTTTGGGGGGAAAGACGTGTCCAAACTATGTTTCCCAGTAAACCCAGTTAGGGTTTGGTGGTGGCAGTGGATATTCCAAGGACAAAGGATAAAATTAATTTGTACCTTGGGGAAGTTTTAACCTAAGCTGGTAAAAGTAAGCTTAGGAGGTTTTCATGCAAGTCCCCACATCTGTACCCTAGAGTTCAGAGTGGGGGAGGAACCTTGACATACCCCAAAACACTATCATGTCTTTTTTTAAGAGATGGCTGTTGGGGTGTCAGGAAATGTTTAGACACTTAGACCTAAGAACCTCTGGATGCCAACTCTCAGAAGGAACTGGGATGTGTAAGGGTACAGGGTTCTCCTGGTTTCACCAAAAGAATATCATATAAGGTCTCATGAAAGCGTGG